AACAGATCTACTCTTTAAGATAATAGATCATATATTAATAAGATAATAATAGAATAGAATGAAATAGTCTGGAGCTATAATGTCATTGGATTCGAGGAGCTATAGGTTGAAAGGTCGCTAGGAAGAGGTGTCAGAATAAACAATAGTAATAATAGTTAGACTAGTGAATAATCAAAATAGTTCTATTGTGGAAATAAGTATCAATAAGGTCAAATTGTTCTAATAACTAAAGTAAAAAAGGAATCAAATGGAGTCAGATTTTAGATGTTTCTGTTTTCCACATCTGTAGGATCTAGTGCAGATGTGTTTATAGAGAGTAGTATTAAAATGCAGACATAGAACGACAGGCTTTAACACAATTTTAAATCTAAAAATAGCTCAAATATAACATTGCTCTTGACGCAGCCTCTGAGCTGCTCCATTGGAGAACAGGTTAAATGTTATTGTTTATTACAAACAGCTGATGTATTTACACATATTAAGTTTGGGACAAGTCTTTAAACAGTTATAAGCAGTGGACAGAAGCCATGAATGTGCTTTTGTTTATTAAATAATTAATTTCATAGCCATATAATCGTAGAGAACGTTTTAAAATAGTTAAAATCCCTTTCAGGCAACTTGATTTAGATGTATGTCTTTAATATTGGAGAACGACTGTGTTGTTTTTGGAATTGTCTGAAATACAATACATAGAATAGTGATTTGCAGAACAAGAACCAGCCAATGAAAAATCATCTATTGCCAATGCTATTGTTACAATCAGAACTCAAAAATTGGGAATATGCCTTTGCTCAAGCTGCAACCGAGCTTTAGAGTCACAATAGAGTAAAAATAGGAATAGATAAATGCATCAACCATAGATGCTTTCAAAAATAGAGATTATTTTTAGCCAAGGCTAATATCAAACGGTAAAAGGACCATTTCCTTCATATTATGTCCAAAAGTATTTACTTCAAAGGTAGATAAAGTTCATTACAGTTTATGCACAGGTTTATTAGATACTGTCAAATTCGCTTGTTTCAAACATAGGTGAATGTTAACAATGCCAAAAGTTAATGAGATAGATTAGAAACAACAGAGATTCAAAAACATTTAAAAGCATTTTAATGTATTTGGGTATAGCACAAAAGTAGATATTTAGGTATTTTTTGAGAATTTTAAGAGCTGTCGACTTGTCAATATGGATTAGAAAATCGAATACCATGGTAGAGTAACTGACCCCAAAAACCTGCTAAAATAGATTAGCTCCTGTACGGATAATACCAATTTGATTAACGATGTACATTTATCCCAAACGGTCTGAGAGAAGGAAGTGACAGCACTTCCTGGTTCAACAAAATGTGTTTGGAAAAATGAGCAAAGCCCCACAAAATGGCACAGAGCCACTGATAATGACAGCAAACCACAGTATAGATAGATTTATTAGATAAAAACATATGTTTAAGAATATGGCTCAATAAAAGCAAAGATGCAAACATATTGGTAAATAGATTAGAATAGTTTAAACTATAGTGAATAGTTTTAGTGCATACATTACAGACGAGGTTGAAGAAGAATCAGAATGACAGCAGTGGTCATCAAAGAGTTTTGTGAAGGAATGTTTCGAATGTTGTTGTGTGTGTATTCTTTCTGTATTAACTCTTCACAGATAACGAGCCAGAACCAAGAACCAAGGCGATGATGGACGAGCTCCCCAGTCTCGGCACCCAGGAGGAATATTGAAAGATTGTGACCTAAATTGGTTTAATATAGGTCAACAGAGGGGAACTGTTGTATATTTTAATATTTGACCATTTGAACATCATAGCCAGAAAGACCTCCGTGCACTCAGGAAAAACCCCAAGGACACAGGATAATCAGACATGAGTCATAAAGATAAAATGCTGTTTAAACAGGGCGAATTATTAACTTTAAATAATAAACATTTTGACGAGGACAAGAGTTCAGAACCTGAATCTTGAGGCAGACTGGGAGATTCACCAATTGCATTCTGACGCCTCCCAGTGGACAAGGGACGTCAGCACACCCGGAAACTCCACCCCTTGGACGCATAAGGATGACGTCATCGGAAGTCTCCCTCATGAGCCCCTGTGTGTGTTTTTTGAGGTCAGACAGGACAGGGCACGGACAGGGGAAGAGCAGGCCTAGAATAGGAGCACTTTTGTTGAACATTCTGTATCTGATTGTAAAGATAATTAAATGCAGATGTTAAACGTGAAGATCTCTTGTCTCGCTCTTGCATCGATTTTGGATACGTCAGTCAAAGGGAATTATTGACTTCAGCAGCCAAAACACTACTAGGATGGGTTGTTAGTGGTCCTCTGGATAACAGTTTTTAGAGTGATATTCAAAGGTGGATTGAATGCAATATGAACTGTAATGTGTATGATTTATTTGGCTCTTTGTGTGTAATGATTGTAATTGTTATGTTTTGTTATCATAATCAATTAGGGGCCGGAATGTAAGAGCCAAACATGTGCAATCATTGGCCTGTGGGGGCCCCTGTGTGTGTTAGGGCTGTGGAGGGTAGGTCTAGCATAAGGCTCTCTCTAATGAGCCATGCAGGTGTGCAACCCGGTAGGGGCCAATGGTTTTTGACCGCTACTTTTATGGAGTTTTGTTGTCTTGATTTATGCATAAATAAACATTGTTTTTTATTATACAATGAACATGTGTGGACTTATGCACGCTACGGTTAAAGCTGACACAATAGCCATCTGAAGCGCGTCACCATAGCGACCGGTGTTTGGGCACATCTCAGTGGCACAGGTACAGGTTGGCCACTACAACTAGGTTATGTATGTGTATGTATGAGAAAAAAGGGGAATATGACAGGAGCCAAATGTGATGTACAAAAGCGTAACTAGCAAAAACACATATTTTGACTTACCCTTCTCTTTTATTTTTCTAAATTTGGTTGTTCTTGGTGTATCAGCGTTTGATGTAGCAGACTGTAAATGTCTTTTCTTTTGACGAGACGCCATAATGTCAAACGATAGGCTAACTATCAGGCATCCTGATCCGCGCCTAAAATATGATTGTCCAATCAGGTGCTGCAATCATTGCAGCTCTGTACCTATCAGCCAATCAGAACAGTTGGTCTTGCTCTTGTGCATGTAGTCCTCGTTTGAAGAAAAACAGCAGCTAAAGATGACGTCCTTCAAGTTCGCGATTTTTTACCTGCACAATAAAAGCTTGAAAGTGGAGAACACAGGAATAATTCTAAAGAGTTCAGGAAGATTTAAGCAGGTAACCTCCCTGCCTGATTTAGACGACGACAATTGGATAGAACTTAAATGTGGGTCACGAAAGGAACCCAGCAGGACAGATCCTGCTAAAGTGCTGCTATTTGGAGGTAAGTTAGCTTAAGCTTTCTAAGTTCATTTTATTTCACGATGAAATATTTATGCTCCACCGGTCGTTCCTTTTAGATGTATTTCAAGAACTTGTTAGAAAAAAGAATCTTTTCCTCCTGGGTAAAAACATTTGGGCCACTGAAGACACGTGTGTAGCTGCAAATGCCGAACGGTCTGAAGAAACATCTTGTCAGGTGAGACATAGGCTATATCCACACGAAGACAAAACGCTTATAATTTCAGAAACTTTTTCTGTAAACACGGAGTTAGCTCAGTAAATGTGTGCGTCCATATGAATGTAGTCAATACGCCTGAAAACGCTGTGAAACTATGCCAGACCTGTTGGTGGCGCTGTGACGCAATGACGGGATCAAGCCCAAACTTCCGTGGGCATGCGCGGAATTTTGTAAACAGACAACATGGCGAGTGGGCGAGCTGGTACTACATTAGTATGGACGGACGATGAGGTTGAACTGTTGCTTCGGGTCACACTGGATTACAAAACCAACAAGCTACATTGTTGTTGTCATTATTTTCTGAGTGCGGCGCATGCTGCTTTAACAAGAGGCGGGGCGATGAAGCGTCTCAGATACATTGCGGAGAGGCAGTAACCACGGAGCGGCATATACGGAGTTTTGAAATCTTTCCACTCTGGGACCTAGTTTCAAAAATGTTCGTTTACACCCCCCCAAAACGCCGGCCTCGTATGGACGATACACTGGATTGACAAAGTATTTTTGCGTTTAGGCCTGAGCTTGACTTCGTGTGGACAGGGCCATACAGAACAGGGTATGTTTGCTTTTGTTTTGTTAGGGTCTATCAAACGCATACTTTTTATTTTTTAAGTTGGGCTATACTAACTTGTAATGAAAATCGTACTGAAGGAGCCCCCAGGTGGGCACTGACAAATATTATTGTGTCAACAAAACATATATTTATAATGAACTCACGTGGGTGATTTTTAATAAACAAGCGGCCTTACCGCTTGTGTATTGAACTGAACTTATGCTTTGCATTGAAAATCTTCAACTATTTCCATACATTGTTTTCTAGGCAAAGAAAAAGGCCCAAACAAAGAAAAATGATAACAAGACTGCAAGTACAAGAAACGTAATTGAGGGACTAAAAAAACACTTTCTCAAAAAAGAAACCTTGAACAATCTGAGGATCTGTTTGGCAGCAGTTCAGAGGAGTGTTCGTCACCTGTGCAGGGTTAGTCTAATAGTTGTGATGTTAATGATACGGACCTGTGGTATTAAAGTATGTCCATTTTCTTTATTCTCAGTCAAAGAAGGCTATGCGTATGGCCTCAACAACTCTCCCCACGAGCTCGCAGTTCTGATGAAACCCACACAGAGCCCACATCATTCAGACCATGTATGTATTAATACATACATCATTTACAACATGTGTTACTCTTTACAGGAGGAGAGTATGATTGTGTTGCTTCAGTTGTGAGGGAGGCAATATACTGCAGCGCCTTCCATGGAAGAGACTGTTTCATGTCTTCGTGGTAAGTTTAGTGGCTTATCAAAATGTAACCTATATTGTTCATAATGTTTGCATAAATATAATTTAGATTTGTTGGTTTTTTTGAAGAACTGCCTGAAACCTTAAAATGAATGAAGGAGTGTGTGGAGCGGATCAGAGCATCTGTCTCAGTGTCTCGCACCCAGTCACCAATGTCCACAATGTCCACAATGTCTCGATGGTCTTTGTCATCTGACAATGAAGTTGAAATGGTTTGGTGTTGGTGTTGTTGGTGTTGTTGGTGTTGTTGGTGTTGTTGGTGTTGTTGGTGTTGTTGGTGTTGTTGGTGTTGTTGTTGTTGGTGGTGTTGTTGGTGGTGTTGTTGGTGGTGTTGTTGGTGGTGTTGTTGGTGGTGTTGTTGGTGGTGTTGTTGGTGGTGTTGTTGGTGGTGTTGTTGGTGGTGTTGTTGGTGGTGTTGGTGGTGGTGTTGGTGGTGGTGTTGGTGTTGGTGGTGGTGTTGTTGGTGTTGTTGGTGTTGGTGTTGGTGTTGGTGTTGGTGTTGGTGTTGGTGTTGTTGGTGGTGTTGGTGTTGGTGTTGTTGGTGTTGGTGTTGTTGGTGTTGTTGGTGTTGTTGGTGTTGTTGGTGTTGGTGTTGGTGTTGGTGTTGGTGTTGTTGTTGTTGTTGTTGGTGTTGTTGGTGTTGGTGTTGTTGTTGTTGGTGTTGTTGGTGTTGTTGGTGTTGTTGGTGTTGGTGTTGGTGTTGGTGTTGGTGTTGTTGGTGGTGTTGGTGTTGGTGTTGTTGGTGGTGTTGGTGTTGTTGGTGTTGGTGTTGGTGTTGTTGGTGTTGTTGATGTTGATGTTGTTGGTGTTGGTGTTGTTGGTGTTGTTGGTGTTGTTGGTGTTGGTGTTGTTGGTGTTGTTGGTGTTGGTGTTGTTGGTGTTGTTGGTGGTGTTGGTGTTGGTGTTGTTGGTGGTGTTGGTGTTGGTGTTGTTGGTGTTGGTGTTGTTGGTGTTGTTGATGTTGATGTTGTTGGTGTTGGTGTTGTTGGTGTTGTTGGTGTTGTTGGTGTTGGTGTTGGTGTTGGTGTTGTTGTTGGTGTTGTTGGTGTTGTTGGTGTTGGTGTTGTTGTTGGTGTTGTTGGTGTTGTTGGTGTTGTTGGTGTTGGTGTTGGTGTTGGTGTTGGTGTTGGTGTTGTTGGTGGTGTTGGTGTTGGTGTTGTTGGTGGTGTTGGTGTTGGTGTTGTTGGTGTTGGTGTTGGTGTTGTTGGTGTTGTTGATGTTGATGTTGTTGGTGTTGGTGTTGTTGGTGTTGTTGGTGTTGGTGTTGTTGGTGTTGTTGGTGTTGGTGTTGTTGGTTGGTGGTGTTGGTGGTGTTGGTGGTGTTGGTGGTGTTGGTGGTGTTGGTGGTGTTGGTGTTGTTGTTGGTGTTGGTGTTGTTGGTGTTGTTGGTGTTGGTGGTGTTGGTGGTGTTGGTGGTGTTGGTGGTGTTGGTGGTGTTGGTGGTGTTGGTGGTGTTGGTGGTGTTGGTGTTGGTGTTGGTGTTGGTGTTGGTGGTGTTGGTGTTGTTGATGTTGATGTTGTTGGTGTTGTTGGTGTTGTTGGTGTTGTTGGTGTTGGTGTTGTTGATGTTGTTGGTGTTGTTGGTGTTGTTGGTGTTGTTGGTGTTGGTGTTGTTGGTGTTGTTGGTGTTGGTGTTGTTGTGTTGGTGGTGTTGGTGGTGTTGGTGGTGTTGGTGGTGTTGGTGGTGTTGGTGGTGTTGGTGTTGTTGTTGGTGTTGGTGTTGTTGGTGTTGGTGGTGTTGGTGGTGTTGGTGGTGTTGGTGGTGTTGGTGTTGGTGTTGGTGTTGGTGTTGTTGTTGTTGGTGTTGGTGTTGGTGTTGGTGTTGGTGTTGGTGTTGTTGGTGTTGGTGTTGGTGTTGGTGTTGTTGGTGTTGTTGGTGTTGTTGGTGATGTTGATGTTGTTGGTGTTGGTGTTGGTGTTGTTGGTGTTGTTGGTGTTGTTGGTGTTGATGTTGATGTTGATGTTGATGTTGTTGGTGTTGGTGTTGGTGTTGTTGGTGTTGTTGGTGTTGTTGGTGTTGGTGTTGGTGTTGTTGTTGGTGTTGTTGGTGTTGTTGGTGTTGTTGGTGTTGTTGGTGTTGTTGGTGTTGTTGGTGTTGGTGTTGTTGGTGGTGTTGGTGTTGTTGGTGTTGGTGTTGGTGTTGTTGGTGTTGTTGATGTTGATGTTGTTGGTGTTGGTGTTGGTGGTGTTGGTGTTGTTGGTGTTGTTGGTGTTGTTGGTGTTGTTGGTGTTGTTGGTGTTGTTGGTGTTGTTGGTGATGTTGATGTTGATGTTGTTGGTGTTGGTGTTGTTGGTGTTGTTGGTGTTGTTGGTGTTGGTGTTGGTGTTGTTGTTGGTGTTGTTGGTGTTGTTGGTGTTGTTGGTGTTGTTGGTGTTGGTGTTGTTGGTGGTGTTGGTGTTGTTGGTGTTGGTGTTGGTGTTGTTGGTGTTGTTGATGTTGATGTTGTTGGTGTTGGTGTTGGTGGTGTTGGTGTTGTTGGTGTTGTTGGTGTTGTTGGTGTTTGGTGTTGTTGGTGTTGGTGTTGGTGTTGTTGTTGGTGTTGTTGGTGTTGTTGGTGTTGTTGGTGTTGGTGTTGGTGTTGGTGTTGTTGTTGTGTTGTTGTGTTGTTGGTGTTGTTGGGTGTTGTTGGTGTTGTTGGTGTTGGTGTTGTTGTTGGTGTTGTTGGTGTTGGTGTGGTGTTGTTGTTGGTGTTGTTGGTGTTGTTGGTGTTGTTGGTGTTGGTGTTGGTGTTGGTGTTGGTGTTGTTGGTGGTGTTGGTGTTGTTGGTGTTGGTGTTGTTGGTGTTGTTGGTGTTGTTGGTGTTGTTGATGTTGATGTTGTTGGTGTTGGTGTTGTTGGTGTTGTTGGTGTTGTTGGTGTTGGTGTTGGTGTTGTTGTTGGTGTTGTTGGTGTTGGTGTTGTTGTTGGTGTTGTTGGTGTTGTTGGTGTTGTTGGTGTTGGTGTTGGTGTTGGTGTTGGTGTTGTTGGTGTTGGTGTTGGTGTTGTTGGTGTTGTTGGTGTTGTTGGTGTTGTTGATGTTGATGTTGTTGGTGTTGGTGTTGTTGGTGTTGGTGTTGTTGGTGTTGGTGTTGTTGGTGTTGGTGTTGTTGGTGTTGATGTTGTTGGTGTTGGTGTTGTTGGTGTTGTTGGTGTTGTTGGTGTTGGTGTTGTTGGTGTTGTTGGTGTTGTTGGTGTTGTTGATGTTGATGTTGTTGGTGTTGGTGTTGTTGGTGTTGGTGTTGGTGTTGTTGTTGGTGTTGTTGGTGTTGGTGTTGTTGTTGGTGTTGTTGGTGTTGTTGGTGTTGTTGGTGTTGGTGTTGGTGTTGGTGTTGGTGTTGTTGGTGGTGTTGGTGTTGTTGGTGTTGGTGTTGGTGTTGTTGGTGTTGTTGGTGTTGTTGGTGTTGTTGATGTTGATGTTGTTGGTGTTGGTGTTGTTGGTGTTGGTGTTGTTGGTGTTGGTGTTGTTGGTGTTGGTGTTGTTGGTGTTGATGTTGTTGGTGTTGGTGTTGTTGGTGTTGTTGGTGTTGTTGGTGTTGTTGGTGTTGGTGTTGTTGGTGTTGTTGGTGTTGTTGGTGTTGGTGGTGTTGGTGGTGTTGGTGGTGTTGGTGGTGTGGTGGTGGTGGTGTTTGGTGTGTTGTTGTTGGTGTTGGTGTTGTTGTTGGTGTTGGTGTTGGTGTTGGTGTTGTTGGTGTTGTTGGTGTTGGTGTTGGTGTTGGTGTTGGTGTTGTTGGTGGTGTTGGTGTTGTTGGTGTTGTTGTTGGTGTTGTTGGTGTTGTTGGTGTTGTTGATGTTGATGTTGTTGGTGTTGGTGTTGTTGGTGTTGGTGTTGTTGGTGTTGGTGTTGTTGGTGTTGTTGGTGTTGGTGTTGTTGGTGTTGTTGGTGTTGTTGGTGTTGATGTTGTTGGTTGGTGTTGGTGTTGTTGGTGTTGTTGGTGTTGTTGGTGTTGGTGTTGTTGGTGTTGTTGGTGTTGTTGGTGTTGGTGGTGTTGGTGGTGTTGGTGGTGTTGGTGGTGTTGGTGGTGTTGTTGGTGTTGGTGTTGGTGTTGGTGTTGTTGTTGGTGTTGGTGTTGGTGTTGTTGGTGTTGGTGTTGTTGTTGGTGTTGGTGTTGGTGTTGGTGTTGTTGGTGTTGGTGTTGTTGGTGTTGTTGGTGTTGTTGTTGGTGTTGTTGTTGGTGTTGGTGTTGTTGGTGTTGATGTTGTTGGTGTTGGTGTTGTTGGTGTTGTTGGTGTTGTTGTGTGTTGTTGGTGTTGCGTTGGTGTTGGCGTTGATGTGGGTGTTGGTGTTGGTGTTGGTGTGGGTGTTGGCGTTGAGGTGGGTGTTGGTGTTGGCGTTGGTGTTGATGTGGGTGTTGGTGTTGGCGTTGGTGTTGGCGTTGAGGTGGGTGTTGGTGTTGGCGTTGGCGTTGGTGTTGGCGTTGGTGTTGGTGTTGGCGTTGGTGTTGGCGTTGAGGTGGGTGTTGGTGTTGGCGTTGGTGTTGGCGTTGAGGTGGGTGTTGGTGTTGGCGTTGGTGTTGGTGTTGATGTTGGTGTTGTTGTGTTGGCGTTGGTTGTTGGCGTTGAGGTGGGTGTTGGTGTTGGGTTGGTGTTGGCGTTGAGGTGGGTGTTGGTGTTGGCGTTGGCGTTGGTGTTGGTGTTGAGGTGGGTGTTGGTGTTGGCGTTGATGTGTGGTGTTGGTGTTGGCGTTGATGTGGGTGTTGGTGTTGGCGTTGGCGTTGGCGTTGATGTGTGTGGGTGTTGGTGTTGGTGTTGAGGTGGTGGTGTTGGGGTTGGCGTTGGTGTTGGTGTTGGTGTTGGTGTTGGCGTTGGTGTTGGTGTTGGTGTTGGTGTTGGCGTTGGTGTTGGTGTTGGCGTTGGTGTTGGCGTTGGTGTTGGCGTTGATGTGGGTGTTGGTGTTGGCGTTGGCGGTTGATGTGGGTGTTGGTGTTGGCGTTGATGTGGGTGTTGGTGTTGGCGTTGGCGTTGATGTGGGTGTTGGTGTTGGCGTTGGCGTTGATGTGGGTGTTGGTGTTGGCGTTGGCGTTGGTGTTGGCGTTGATGTGGGTGTTGGTGTTGGCGTTGGCGTTGGTGTTGGCGTTGATGTGGGTGTTGGTGTTGGCGTTGATGTGGGTGTTGGTGTTGGCGTTGATGTGGGTGTTGGTGTGGGTGTTGGTGTTGGCGTTGAGGTGGGTGTTGGTGTTGGCGTTGAGGTGGGTGTTGGTGTTGGCGTTGGTGTTGGCGTTGATGTGGGTGTTGGCGTTGGCGTTGATGTGGGTGTTGGTGTTGGCGTTGATGTGGGTGTTGGTGTTGGTGTTGGTGTTGGCGTTGATGTGGGTGTTGGCGTTGGCGTTGATGTAGGTGTTGGCGTTGGCGTTGATGTGGGTGTTGGTGTTGGCGTTGGCGTTGGCGTTGATGTGGGTGTTGGTGTTGGTGTAGGTGGGTGTTGGTGTGGTGTTGGTGTTGGTGTTGGTGTTGGTGTTGGTGTTGGCGTTGGTGTTGGTGTTGGCGTTGGTGTTGGCGTTGGTGTTGGCGTTGATGTGGGTGTTGGTGTTGGCGTTGGCGTTGGCGTTGATGTGGGCGTTGGTGTTGGCGTTGATGTGGGTGTTGGTGTTGGCGTTGATGTGGGTGTTGGTGTTGGCGTTGATGTGGGTGTTGGTGTTGGCGTTGGCGTTGATGTGGGTGTTGGTGTTGGCGTTGGCGTTGGGGTTGATGTGGGTGTTGGTGTTGGCGTTGGCGTTGGCGTTGGCGTTGATGTGGGTGTTGGTGTTGGCGTTGATGTGGGTGTTGGTGTTGGCGTTGATGTGGGTGTTGGTGTTGGTGTGGGTGTTGGTGTTGGTGTTGGCGTTGAGGTGGGTGTTGGTGTTGGCGTTGGCGTTGAGGTGGGTGTTGGTGTTGGCGTTGGCGTTGGTGTTGGCGTTGGCGTTGATGTGGGTGTTGGCGTTGGCGTTGACGTGGGTGTTGGTGTTGGCGTTGATGTGGGTGTTGGTGTTGGTGTTGGCGTTGATGTGGGTGTTGGTGTTGGCGTTGGCGTTGATGTGGGTGTTGGAGTTGGCGTTGGCGTTGTTGTGGGTGTTGGTGTTGGCGTTGATGTGGGTGTTGGTGTTGGCGTTGATGTGGGTGTTGGTGTTGGCGTTAGCGTTGATGTGGGTGTTGGTGTTGGCGTTGATGTGGGTGTTGGTGTTGGCGTTGAGGTCGGTGTTGGTGTTGGTGTTGGCGTTGAGGTGGGTGTTGGTGTTGGCGTTGACGTTGATGTGGGTGTTGGCGTTGGCGTTGATGTGGGTGTTGGTGTTGGCGTTGGTGTTGGCGTTGAGGTGGGTGTTGGCGTTGGCGTTGGTGTTGGCGTTGAGGTGGGTGTTGGTGTTGGCGTTGGTGTTGGTGTTGATGTTGGTGTTGGTGTTGGCGTTGGTGTTGGCGTTGAGGTGGGTGTTGGTGTTGGCGTTGGTGTTGGCGTTGAGGTGGGTGTTGGTGTTGGCGTTGGCGTTGGTGTTGGCGTTGAGGTGGGTGTTGGTGTTGGCGTTGATGTGGGTGTTGGTGTTGGCGTTGATGTGGGTGTTGGTGTTGGCGTTGGCGTTGGCGTTGATGTGGGTGTTGGTGTTGGTGTTGAGGTGGGTGTTGGTGTTGGCGTTGGTGTTGGTGTTGGTGTTGGTGTTGGCGTTGGTGTTGGTGTTGGTGTTGGTGTTGGTGTTGGCGTTGGTGTTGGTGTTGGCGTTGGTGTTGGCGTTGGTGTTGGCGTTGATGTGGGTGTTGGTGTTGGCGTTGGCGTTGATGTGGGTGTTGGTGTTGGCGTTGATGTGGGTGTTGGTGTTGGCGTTGGCGTTGATGTGGGTGTTGGTGTTGGCGTTGGCGTTGATGTGGGTGTTGGTGTTGGCGTTGGCGTTGGTGTTGGCGTTGATGTGGGTGTTGGTGTTGGCGTTGGCGTTGATGTGGGTGTTGGTGTTGGCGTTGGCGTTGATGTGGGTGTTGGTGTTGGCGTTGGCGTTGGCGTTGGCGTTGATGTAGGTGTTGGCGTTGGCGTTGGCGTTGATGTGGGTGTTGGTGTTGGCGTTGGCGTTGGCGTTGATGTGGGTGTTGGTGTTGGTGTTGAGGTGGGTGTTGGTGTTGGCGTTGGTGTTGGTGTTGGTGTTGGTGTTGGTGTTGGCGTTGGTGTTGGTGTTGGCGTTGGTGTTGGCGTTGGTGTTGGCGTTGATGTGGGTGTTGGTGTTGGTGTTGGCGTTGGCGTTGGCGTTGATGTGGGCGTTGGTGTTGGCGTTGATGTGGGTGTTGGTGTTGGCGTTGATGTGGGTGTTGGTGTTGGCGTTGATGTGGGTGTTGGTGTTGGCGTTGGCGTTGATGTGGGTGTTGGTGTTGGCGTTGGCGTTGGGGTTGATGTGGGTGTTGGTGTTGGCGTTGGCGTTGGTGTTGGCGTTGATGTGGGTGTTGGTGTTGGCGTTGATGTGGGTGTTGGTGTTGGCGTTGATGTGGGTGTTGGTGTTGGTGTGGGTGTTGGTGTTGGTGTTGGCGTTGAGGTGGGTGTTGGTGTTGGCGTTGGCGTTGAGGTGGGTGTTGGTGTTGGCGTTGGCGTTGGTGTTGGCGTTGGCGTTGATGTGGGTGTTGGCGTTGGCGTTGACGTGGGTGTTGGTGTTGGCGTTGATGTGGGTGTTGGTGTTGGTGTTGGCGTTGATGTGGGTGTTGGTGTTGGCGTTGGCGTTGATGTGGGTGTTGGCGTTGGCGTTGGCGTTGATGTGGGTGTTGGCGTTGATGTGGGTGTTGGTGTTGGCGTTGATGTGGGTGTTGGTGTTGGCGTTAGCGTTGATGTGGGTGTTGGTGTTGGCGTTGATGTGGGTGTTGGTGTTGGCGTTGTGTTGGCGTTGAGGTCGGTGTTGGTGTTGGTGTTGGCGTTGAGGTGGGTGTTGGTGTTGGCGTTGACGTTGATGTGGGTGTTGGCGTTGGCGTTGATGTGGGTGTTGGTGTTGGCGTTGGTGTTGGCGTTGAGGTGGGTGTTGGTGTTGGTGTTGGCGTTGGCGTTGATGTGGGTGTTGGTGTTGGCGTTGGCGTTGGTGTTGGTGTTGATGTGGGTGTTGGTGTTGGTGTTGGCGTTGGTGTTGGCGTTGGCGTTGATGTGGGTGTTGGTGTTGGCGTTGGCATTGGCGTTGATGTGGGTGTTGGTGTTGGCGTTGGCGTTGATGTGGGTGTTGGTGTTGGCGTTGGCGTTGATGTGGGTGTTGGTGTTGGCGTTGGCGTTGATGTGGGTGTTGGTGTTGGCGTTGGCGTTGATGTGGGTGTTGGTGTTGGCGTTGGCGTTGATGTGGGTGTTGGTGTTGGCGTTGATGTGGGTGTTGGTGTTGGCGTTGGCGTTGATGTGGGTGTTGGTGTTGGTGTTGGAGGAGCTGTGGTTGTGGTAGTTGTTGGAGGAGCTGTGGATGTGGTAGTTGTTGGAGAAGCTGTGGTGGTGGTGGTAGTTGGAGGAGCTGTAGTTGTGGTAGTTGTTGGAGGAGCTGTAGTTGTGGTAGTTGTTGGAGGAGCTGTGGTTGTGGTGGTTGTTGGAGGAGCTGTAGTTGTGGTAGTTGTTGGAGGAGCTGTGGTTGTGGTGGTTGTTGGAGGAGCTGTAGTTGTGGTAGTTGTTGGAGGAGCTGTGGTGGTGGTAGTTGTTGGAGGAGCTGTGGTTGTGGTAGTTGTTGGAGGAGCTGTGGTTGTGGTAGTTGTTGGAGGAGCTGTGGTGGTGGTAGTTGTTGGAGGAGCTGTAGTTGTGGTAGTTGTTGGAGGAGCTGTGGTTGTGGTAGTTGTTGGAGGAGCTGTGGTGGTGGTGGTTGTTGGAGGAGCTGTAGTTGTGGTAGTTGTTGGAGGAGCTGTAGTTGTGGTAGTTGTAGGAGGAGCTGTAGTTGTGGTAGTTGTTGGAGGAGCTGTGGTTGTGGTGGTTGTTGGAGGAGCTGTAGTTGTTGGAGGAGCTGTAGTTGTGGTAGTTGTTGGAGGAGCTGTGGTTGTGGTAGTTGTTGGAGGAGCTGTAGTTGTGGTAGTTGTTGGAGGAGCTGTGGTGGTGGTGGTTGTTGGAGGAGCTGTGGTGGTGGTAGTTGTTGGAGGAGCTGTAGTTGTGGTGGTAGTTGGAGGAGCTGTGGTGGTGGTGGTTGTTGGAGGAGCTGTGGTTGTGGTAGTTGTTGGAGGAGCTGTGTTTGTGGTAGTTGTTGGAGGAGCTGTAGTTGTGGTAGTTGTTGGAGGAGCTGTGGTGGTGGTAGTTGTTGGAGGAGCTGTGGTTGTGGTAGTTGTTGGAGGAGCTGTGGTTGTGGTAGTTGTTGGAGGAGCTGTGGTGGTGGTAGTTGTTGGAGGAGCTGTAGTTGTGGTAGTTGTTGGAGGAGCTGTGGTTGTGGTAGTTGTTGGAGGAGCTGTGGTTGTGTTGGTTGTTGGAGGAGCTGTAGTTGTGGTAGTTGTTGGAGGAGCTGTAGTTGTGGTAGTTGTAGGAGGAGCTGTAGTTGTGGTAGTTGTTGGAGGAGCTGTGGTTGTGGTGGTTGTTGGAGGAGCTGTAGTTGTGGTAGTTGTTGGAGGAGCTGTAGTTGTGGTAGTTGTTGGAGGAGCTGTGGTGGTGGTGGTTGTTGGAGGAGCTGTGGTTGTGGTAGTTGTTGGAGGAGCTGTAGTTGTGGTAGTTGTTGGAGGAGCTGTGGTTGTGGTAGTTGTTGGAGGAGCTGTGGTGGTGGTAGTTGTTGGAGGAGCTGTAGTTGTGGTAGTTGTTGGAGGAGCTGTAGTTGTGGTAGTTGTTGGAGGAGCTGTGGTTGTGGTGGTTGTTGGAGGAGCTGTGGTTGTGGTAGTTGTTGGAGGAGCTGTGGTTGTGGTAGTTGTTGGAGGAGCTGTGGTTGTGGTGGTTGTTGGAGGAGCTGTGGTGGTGGTGGTAGTTGGAGGAGCTGTAGTTGTGGAAGTTGTTGGAGGAGCTGTGGTGGTGGTAGTTGTTGGAGGAGCTGTGGTTGTGGTAGTTGTTGGAGGAGCTGTGGTTGTGGTGGTTGTTGGAGGAGCTGTAGTTGTTGGAGGAGCTGTAGTTGTGGTAGTTGTTGGAGGAGCTGTGGTGGTGGTAGTTGTTGGAGGAGCTGTGGTTGTGGTAGTTGTTGGAGGAGCTGTGGTTGTGGTGGTTGTTGGAGGAGCTGTAGTTGTTGGAGGAGCTGTAGTTGTGGTGGTAGTTGGAGGAGCTGTGGTGGTGGTGGTTGTTGGAGGAGCTGTGGTTGTGGTAGTTGTTGGAGGAGCTGTAGTTGTGGTAGTTGTTGGAGGAGCTGTGGTTGTGGTGGTTGTTGGAGGAGCTGTAGTTGTGGTGGTAGTTGGAGGAGCTGTGGTTGTGGTGGTTGTTGGAGGAGCTGTGGTGGTGGTAGTTGTTGGAGGAGCTGTGGTTGTGGTAGTTGTTGGAGGAGCTGTGGTTGTGGTGGTTGTTGGAGGAGCTGTAGTTGTGGTGGTAGTTGGAGGAGCTGTGGTTGTGGTGGTTGTTGGAGGAGCTGTGGTGGTGGTAGTTGTTGGAGGAGCTGTAGTTGTGGTAGTTGTTGGAGGAGCTGTGGTTGTGGTGGTAGTTGGAGGAGCTGTGGTGGTGGTGGTTGTTGGAGGAGCTGTAGTTGTGGTAGTTGTTGGAGGAGCTGTAGTTGTGGTAGTTGTTGGAGGAGCTGTAGTTGTGGTAGTTGTTGGAGGAGCTGTAGTTGTGGTAGTTGTTGGAGGAGCTGTAGTTGTGGTAGTTGTTGGAGGAGCTGTGGTTGTGGTGGTTGTTGGAGGAGCTGTAATTGTGGTGGTTGTTGGAGGAGCTGTAGTTGTGGTAGTTGTTGGAGGAGCTGTAGTTGTGGTGGTTGTTGGAGGAGCTGTGGTGGTGGTGGTTGTTGGAGGAGCTGTAGTTGTGGTAGTTGTTGGAGGAGCTGTAGTTGTGGTAGTTGTTGGAGGAGCTGTGGTTGTGGTAGTTGTTGGAGGAGCTGTAGTTGTGGTAGTTGTTGGAGGAGCTGTAGTTGTGGTAGTTGTTGGAGGAGCTGTAGTTGTGGTGGTTGTTGGAGGAGCAGTAGTTGTGGTAGTTGTTGGAGGAGCTGTGGTGGTGGTGGTTGTTGGAGGAGCTGTGGTTGTGGTGGTAGTTGTTGGAGGAGCTGTGGTTGTGGTGGTTGTTGGAGGAGCTGTGGTGGTGGTAGTTGTTGGAGGAGCTGTAGTTGTGGTGGTTGTTGGAGGAGCTGTGGGTGTGGTTGTTGTTGGAGGAGCTGTGGTTGTGGTGGTTGTTGGAGGAGCTGTAGTTGTGGTAGTTGTTGGAGGAGCTGTGGTGGTGGTAGTTGTTGGAGGAGCTGTAGTTGTGGTGGTTGTTGGAGGAGCTGTAGTTGTGGTAGTTGTTGGAGGAGCTGTAGTTGTGGTAGTTGTTGGAGGAGCTGTGGTGGTGGTGGTAGTTGGAGGAGCTGTAGTTGTGGTGGTAGTTGGAGGAGCAGTAGTTGTGGTAGTTGTTGGAGGAGCTGTGGTGGTGGTAGTTGTTGGAGGAGCTGTGGTGGTGGTAGTTGTTGGAGGAGCTGTAGTTGTGGTGGTAGTTGGAGGAGCAGTAGTTGTGGTAGTTGTTGGAGGAGCTGTAGTTGTGGTAGTTGTAGGAGGAGCAGTAGTTGTGGTAGTTGTTGGAGGAGCTGTGGTTGTGGTAGTTGTTGGAGGAGCTGTGGTTGTTGGAGGAGCTGTGGTGGTGGTAGTTGTTGGAGGAGCTGTGGTGGTGGTGGTTGTTGGAGGAGCTGTAGTTGTGGTAGTTGTTGGAGGAGCCGTAGTTGTGGTAGTTGTTGGAGGAGCTGTGGTTGTGGTAGTTGGAGGAGCTGTTGTGGTGGTAGTTGTTGGAGGATCTGTGGTTGTGGTTGTTGTTGGAGGAGCTGTGGTTGTGGTAGTTGTTGGAGGAGCTGTGGTTGTGGTAGTTGTTGGAGGAGCTGTGGTTGTGGTAGTTGTTGGAGGAGCTGTAGTTGTGGTAGTTGGAGGAGCTGTGGTTATGGTAGTTGTTGGAGGAGCTGTGGTTGAGGTAGTTGTTGGAGGAGCTGTGGTGGTGGTAGTTGGAGGAGCTGTGGTGGTGGTAGTTGTTGGAGGAGCTGTGGTTGTGGTAGTTGTTGGAGGAGCTGTGGTTGTGGTAGTTGTTGGAGGAGCTGTGGTTGTGGTAGTTGTTGGAGGAGCTGTAGTTGTGGTAGTTGTTGGAGGAGCTGTGGTGGTGGTAGTTGTTGGAGGAGCTGTAGTGGTGGTAGTTGTTGGAGGAGCTGTTGTGGTGGTAGTTGTTGGAGGAGCTGTAGTTGTGGTAGTTGTTGGAGGAGCTGTAGTGGTGGTAGTTGTTGGAGGAGCTGTGGTTGTGGTAGTTGTTGGAGGAGCTGTAGTTGTGGTAGTTGTTGGAGGAGCTGTAGTTGTGGTAGTTGTTGGAGGAGCTGTAGTTGTGGTGGTTGTTGGAGGAGCAGTAGTTGTGGTAGTTGTTGGAGGAGCTGTGGTGGTGGTGGTTGTTGGAGGAGCTGTGGTTGTGGTGGTAGTTGTTGGAGGAGCTGTGGTTGTGGTGGTTGTTGGAGGAGCTGTGGTTGTGGTTGTTGTTGGAGGAGCTGTGGTTGTGGTGGTTGTTGGAGGAGCTGTAGTTGTGGTAGTTGTTGGAGGAGCTGTGGTGGTGGTAGTTGTTGGAGGAGCTGTAGTTGTGGTGGTTGTTGGAGGAGCTGTAGTTGTGGTAGTTGTTGGAGGAGCTGTAGTTGTGGTAGTTGTTGGAGGAGCAGTAGTTGTGGTAGTTGTTGGAGGAGCTGTGGTGGTGGTAGTTGTTGGAGGAGCTGTAGTTGTGGTAGTTGTTGGAGGAGCTGTGGTGGTGGTGGTAGTTGGAGGAGCTGTAGTTGTGGTAGTTGTTGGAGGAGCTGTGGTGGTGGTAGTTGTTGGAGGAGCTGTGGTGGTGGTAGTTGTTGGAGGAGCTGTAGTTGTGGTGGTAGTTGGAGGAGCAGTAGTTGTGGTAGTTGTTGGAGGAGCTGTAGTTGTGGTAGTTGTTGGAGGAGCAGTAGTTGTGGTAGTTGTTGGAGGAGCTGTGGTTGTGGTAGTTGTTGGAGGAGCTGTGGTTGTTGGAGGAGCTGTGGTTGTGGTGGTTGTTGGAGGAGCTGTAGTTGTGGTAGTTGTTGGAGGAGCCGTAGTTGTGGTAGTTGTTGGAGGAGCTGTGGTTGTGGTAGTTGGAGGAGCTGTTGTGGTGGTAGTTGTTGGAGGAACTGTGGTTGTGGTTGTTGTTGGAGGAGCTGTGGTTGTGGTAGTTGTTGGAGGAGCTGTGGTTGTGGTAGTTGTTGGAGGAGCTGTGGTTGTGGTAGTTGTTGGAGGAGCTGTAGTTGTGGTAGTTGGAGGAGCTGTGGTTATGGTAGTTGTTGGAGGAGCTGTGGTTGTGGTAGTTGTTGGAGGAGCTGTGGTGGTGGTAGTTGGAGGAGCTGTGGTGGTGGTAGTTGTTGGAGGAGCTGTGGTTGTGGTAGTTGTTGGAGGAGCTGTGGTTGTGGTAGTTGTTGGAGGAGCTGTGGTTGTGGTAGTTGTTGGAGGAGCTGTTGTTGTGGTAGTTGTTGGAGGAGCTGTGGTGGTGGTAGTTGTTGGAGGAGCTGTAGTGGTGGTAGTTGTTGGAGGAGCTGTTGTGGTGGTAGTTGTTGGAGGAGCTGTAGTTGTGGTAGTTGTTGGAGGAGCTGTAGTGGTGGTAGTTGTTGGAGGAGCTGTGGTTGTGGTAGTTGTTGGAGGAGCTGTAGTTGTGGTAGTTGTTGGAGGAGCTGTGGTGGTGGTAGTTGTTGGAGGAGCTGTAGTGGTGGTAGTTGTTGGAGGAGCTGTTGTGGTGGTAGTTGTTGGAGGAGCTGTTGTGGTGGTAGTTGTTGGAGGAGCTGTGGTTGTGGTAGTTGTTGGAGGAGCTGTAGTGGTGGTAGTTGTTGGAGGAATTGTTGTGGTGGTAGTTGTTGGAGGAGCTGTAGTGGTGGTAGTTGTTGGAGGAGCTGTAGTGGTGGTAGTTGTTGGAGGAGCTGTTGTGGTGGTAGTTGTTGGAGGAGCTGTTGTGGTGGTAGTTGTTGGAGGAGCTGTTGTGGTGGTAGTTGTTGGAGGAGCTGTTGTGGTGGTAGTTGTTGGAGGAGCTGTGGTTGTGGTAGTTGTTGGAGGAGCTGTAGTGGTGGTAGTTGTTGGAGGAGCTGTAGTGGTGGTAGTTGTTGGAGGAGCTGTTGTGGTGGTAGTTGTTGGAGGAGCTGTTGTGGTGGTAGTTGTTGGAGGAGCTGTGGTTGTGGTGGTTGTTGGAGGAGCTGTGGTTGTGGTAGTTGTTGGAGGAGCTGTAGTTGTGGTAGTTGTTGGAGGAGCTGTCGTTGTGGTAGTTGTTGGAGGAGCTGTGGTGGTGGTAGTTGTTGGAGGAGCTGTGGTGGTGGTAGTTGTTGGAGGAGCTGTAGTTGTGGTAGTTGTTGGAGGAGCTGTAGTTGTGGTAGTTGTTGGAGGAGCTGTAGTTGTGGTAGTTGTTGGAGGAGCTGTGGTTGTGGTAGTTGTTGGAGGAGCTGTAGTGGTGGTGGTTGTTGGAGGAGCTGTTGTGGTGGTAGTTGTTGGAGGAGCTGTTGTGGTGGTAGTTGTTGGAGGAGCTGTGGTTGTGGTGGTGGTTGGAGGAGCTGTAGTTGTGGTAGTTGTTGGAGGAGCTGTAGTTGTGGTAGTTGTTGGAGGAGCTGTGGTGGTGGTAGTTGTTGGAGGAGCTGTGGTGGTGGTAGTTGTTGGAGGAGCTGTGGTTGTGGTAGTCGTTGGAGGAGCTGTAGTTGTGGTAGTTGTTGGAGGAGCTGTAGTTGTGGTAGTTGTTGGAGGAGCTGTGGTTGTGGTAGTTGTTGGAGGAGCTGTGGTTGTGGTGGTTGTTGGAGGAGCTGTGGTGGTGGTAGTTGTTGGAGGAGCTGTGGTTGTGGTGGTTGTTGGAGGAGCTGTGGTGGTGGTAGTTGTTGGAGGAGCTGTTGTGGTGGTAGTTGTTGGAGGAGCTGTGGTTGTGGTAGTTGTTGGAGGAGCTGTAGTGGTGGTAGTTGTTGGAGGAGCTGTTGTGGTGGTAGTTGTTGGAGGAGCTGTTGTGGTGGTAGTTGTTGGAGGAGCTGTGGTTGTGGTGGTTGTTGGAGGAGCTGTGGTTGTGGTAGTTGTTGGAGGAGCTGTAGTTGTGGTAGTTGTTGGAGGAGCTGTCGTTGTGGTAGTTGTTGGAGGAGCTGTAGTTGTGGTAGTTGTTGGAGGAGCTGTAGTTGTGGTAGTTGTTGGAGGAGCTGTGGTTGTGGTGGTTGTTGGAGGAGCTGTGGTGGTGGTAGTTGTTGGAGGAGCTGTGGTTGTGGTAGTTGTTGGAGGAGCTGTGGTTGTGGTGGTTGTTGGAGGAGCTGTGGTGGTTATGGTTGTTGGAGGAGCTGTAGTTGTGGTAGTTGTTGGAGGAGCTGTGGTGGTGGTAGTTGTTGGAGGAGCTGTGGTGGTGGTAGTTGTTGGAGGAGCTGTGGTGGTGGTAGTTGTTGGAGGAGCTGTGGTTGTGGTAGTTGTTGGAGGAGCTGTAGTTGTGGTAGTTGTTGGAGGAGCTGTGGTTGTGGTAGTTGTTGGAGGAGCTGTGGTGGTGGTAGTTGTTGGAGGAGCTGTGGTGGTGGTAGTTGTTGGAGGAGCTGTAGTTGTGGTGGTTGTTGGAGGAGCTGTAGTTGTGGTAGTTGTTGGAGGAGCTGTAGTTGTGGTAGTTGTTGGAGGAGCTGTAGTTGTGGTAGTTGTTGGAGGAGCTGTAGTTGTGGTAGTTGTTGGAGGAGCTGTGGTTGTGGTAGTTGTTGGAGGAGCTGTAGTTGTGGTAGTTGTTGGAGGAGCTGTGGTGGTGGTAGTTGTTGGAGGAGCTGTAGTTGTGGTGGTTGTTGGAGGAGCTGTAGTTGTGGTAGTTGTTGGAGGAGCTGTAGTTGTGGTAGTTGTTGGAGGAGCTGTAGTTGTGGTAGTTGTTGGAGGAGCTGTAGTTGTGGTAGTTGTTGGAGGAGCTGTGGTTGTGGTAGTTGTTGGAGGAGCTGTAGTTGTGGTAGTTGTTGGAGGAGCTGTGGTGGTGGTAGTTGTTGGAGGAGCTGTGGTGGTGGTAGTTGTTGGAGGAGCTGTAGTTGTGGTAGTTGTTGGAGGAGCTGTAGTTGTGGTAGTTGTTGGAGGAGCTGTAGTTGTGGTAGTTGTTGGAGGAGCTGTGGTTGTGGTAGTTGTTGGAGGAGCTGTAGTTGTGGTAGTTGTTGGAGGAGATGTAGTGGTGGTAGTTGTTGGAGGAGCTGTTGTGGTGGTAGTTGTTGGAGGAGCTGTGGTGGTGGTAGTTGGAGGAGCTGTGGTTGTGGTAGTGGTTGGAGGAGCTGTAGTTGTGGTAGTTGTTGGAGGAGCTGTGGTGGTGGTAGTTGTTGGAGGAGCTGTAGTTGTGGTAGTTGTTGGAGGAGCTGTGGTGGTGGTAGTTGTTGGAGGAGCTGTAGTTGTGGTGGTTGTTGGAGGAGCTGTGGTTGTGGTAGTTGTTGGAGGAGCTGTGGTTGTGGTAGTTGTTGGAGGAGCTGTGGTTGTTGGAGGAGCTGTCGTTGTGGTGGTGGTAGTTGTTGGAGGAGCTGTAGTTGTGGTAGTTGTTGGAGGAGCTGTAGTTGTGGTAGTTGTCGGAGGAGCTGTGGTTGTGGTAGTTGTTGGAGGAGCTGTGGTTGTGGTAGTTGTTGGAGGAGCTGTGGTTGTGGTAGTTGTTGGAGGAGCTGTGGTTGTGGTAGTTGTTGGAGGAGCTGTGGTTGTGGTGGTTGTTGGAGGAGCTGTCGTTGTGGTAGTTGTTGGAGGAGCTGTAGTTGTGGTAGTTGTTGGAGGAGCTGTGGTTGTGGTAGTTGTTGGAGGAGCTGTGGTTGTGGTAGTTGTTGGAGGAGCTGTGGTTGTGGTGGTTGTTGGAGGAGCTGTCGTTGTGGTAGTTGTTGGAGGAGCTGTGGTGGTGGTAGTTGTTGGAGGAGCTGTAGTTGTGGTAGTTGTTGGAGGAGCTGTAGTTGTGGTAGTTGTTGGAGGAGCTGTGGTGGTGGTAGTTGTTGGAGGAGCTGTAGTTGTGGTAGTTGTTGGAGGAGCTGTAGTTGTGGTAGTTGTCGGAGGAGCTGTGGTTGTGGTAGTTGTTGGAGGAGCTGTAGTTGTGGTAGTTGTTGGAGGAGCTGTAGTTGTGGTAGTTGTCGGAGGAGCTGTGGTTGTGGTAGTTGTTGGAGGAGCTGTGGTTGTGGTAGTTGTTGGAGGAGCTGTAGTTGTGGTAGTTGTTGGAGGGGCTGTGGTGGTGGTAGTTGTTGGAGGAGCTGTGGTTGTGGTAGTTGTTGGAGGAGCTGTGGTGGTGGTAGTTGGAGGAGCTGTGGTGGTGGTAGTTGTTGGAGGAGCTGTGGTTGTGGTAGTGGTTGGAGGAGCTGTAGTTGTGGTAGTTGTTGGAGGAGCTGTGGTGGTGGTAGTTGTTGGAGGAGCTGTAGTTGTGGTGGTTGTTGGAGGAGCTGTGGTTGTGGTAGTTGTTGGAGGAGCTGTGGTTGTGGTGGTTGTTGGAGGAGCTGTCGTTGTGGTAGTGTGTTGTTGGAGGAGCTGTGGTGGTGGTAGTTGTTGGAGGAGCTGTAGTTGTGGTAGTTGTTGGAGGAGCTGTGGTTGTGGTGGTTGTTCTATTTCTATGTGAGAAGTGTAACATTTTCCATTTTTTTTGTTCTTGAAGGCAGAAATGGCGTGGCAGCTGCTGATTGGAGGTCTCCATGCTCGTCTGTATAATACACTTGCTTCTTTGTTGTGTTGTTTGCAGATCTACATGACAATAAAGATGTCTTCTGTTGAATTAAAGACGCGATCAGACATTGGCCTCTTCTTCAGGTGGATGGAGACTCCAATCCGAGTTACGGTTGAGCAGAGATAGCAAAAAATGAAGTGGAAAATGTAAGGGACGAAGGTGGCACCAGGCTTTGTGGCAGAAAATGAGGAAAACAGTGGTGAACCTTCTTTGAGAACCGGCCAAGAACTTAGATCGGTCAGGACATCTAGTATGAACGGACGGTGTGATTTGGACACGATTGTGAAATGGCAAGATACATTACGCTGTAGAGACAACTACCACAACCACAGCTCCTCCAACAACCACCACAACCACAGCTCCTCCAACTACCACCACAACCACAGCTCCTCCAACAACTACCACCACTACAGCTCCTCCAACAACTACCACAACTACAGCTCCTCCAACAACCACCACAACTACAGCTCCTCCAACTACCACCACAACCACAGCTCCTCCAACAACTACCACAACTACAGCTCCTCCAACAACTACCACAACCACAGCTCCTCCAACAACTACCACAACTACAGCTCCTCCAACAACTACCACAACTACAGCTCCTCCAACAACCACCACAACTACAGCTCCTCCAACTACCACCACAACCACAGCTCCTCCAACAACTACCACAACCACAGCTCCTCCAACAACCACCACAACCACAGCTCCTCCAACAACCACCACAACCACAGCTCCTCCAACAACTACCACAACCACAGCTCCTCCAACAACTACCACAACTACAGCTCCTCCAACAACTACCACAACTACAGCTCCTCCAACAACTATCACAACTACAGCTCCTCCAACAACCACCACCACCACAGCTCCTCCAACAACTACCACGACTACAGCTCCTCAAACAACTACTACAACTACAGCTCCTCCAACAACTACCACCACCACAGCTCCTCCAACAACTACCACAACTACAGCTCCTCCAACAACTACCACAACCACAGCTCCTCCAACAACTACCACCACCACAGCTCCTCCAACTACCACCACAACCACAGCTCCTCCAACAACTACCACAACTACAGCTCCTCCAACAACTACCATAACCACAGCTCCTCCAACAACTACCACAACCACAGCTCCTCCAACAACCACCACCACCACGGCTCCTCCAACAACTACCACCACCACAGCTCCTCCAACAACTACCACAACCACAGCTCCTCCAACAACCACCACCACCACGGCTCCTCCAACAACTACCACAACTACAGCTCCTCCAACAACTACCACAACTACAGCTCCTCCAACAACTACCACAACTACAGCTCCTCCAACAACTACCACCACCACAGATCCTCCAACAACTACCACCACCACAGCTCCTCCAACAACTACCACCACCACAGCTCCTCCAACAACTACCACAACCACAGCTCCTCCAACAACTACCACAACTACAGCTCCTCCAACAACTACCACAACTACAGCTCCTCCAACAACCACCACAACTACAGCTCCTCCAACAACCACCACAACCACAGCTCCTCCAACAACTACCACAACTACAGCTCCTCCAACAACTACCACAACTACAGCTCCTCCAACAACTACCACAACCACAGCTCCTCCAACAACAACTACAACTACAGCTCCTCCAACAACCACCACAACTACAGCTCCTCCAACAACCACCACAACTACAGCTCCTCCAACAACTACCACAACCACAGCTCCTCCAACAACTACCACAACTACAGCTCCTCCAACAACTACCACAACCACAGCTCCTCCAACAACAACCACAACTACAGCTCCTCCAACAACTACCACAACTACAGCTCCTCCAACAACTACCACAACCACAGCTCCTCCAACAACTACCACAACCACAGCTCCTCCAACAACCACCACCACCACGGCTCCTCCAACAACTACCACCACCACAGCTCCTCCAACAACTACCACAACTACAGCTCCTCCAACAACTACCACAACTACAGCTCCTCCAACAACTACCACAACTACAGCTCCTCCAACAACTACCACAACCACAGCTCCTCCAACAACTACCACCACCACAGATCCTCCAACAACTACCACCACCACAGCTCCTCCAACAACTACCACCACCACAGCTCCTCCAACAACTACCACAACCACAGCTCCTCCAACAACTACCACAACTACAGCTCCTCCAACAACAACCACAACTACAGCTCCTCCAACAACCACCTCAACTACAGCTCCTCCAACAACCACCACAACTACAGCTCCTCCAACAACTACCACCACCACAGCTCCTCCAACAACTACCACAACTACAGCTCCTCCAACAACTACCACAACCACAGCTCCTCCAACAACTACCACAACTACAGCTCCTCCAACAACTACCACAACTACAGCTCCTCCAACAACCACCACGACTACAGCTCCTCCAACAACTACCACAACTACAGCTCCTCCAACAACTACCACAACCACAGCTCCGCCAACAACTACCACAACTACAGCTCCTCCAACAACTACCACAACTACAGCTCCTCCAACAACCACCACAACTACAGCTCCTCCAACAACTACCACAACCACAGCTCCTCCAACAACTACCACAACTACAGCTCCTCCAACAACTACCACAACTACAGCTCCTCCAACAACCACCACGACTACAGCTCCTCCAACAACTACCACAACCACAGCTCCTCCGACAACTACCACAACTACAGCTCCTCCAACAACTACCACAACTACAGCTCCTCCAACAACTACCACCACCACAGCTCCTCCAACAACTACCACGACTACAGCTCCTCCAACAACTACCACAACCACAGCTCCTCCGACAACTACCACAACTACAGCTCCTCCAACAACTACCACAACTACAGCTCCTCCAACAACTACCACCACCACAGCTCCTCCAACAACTACCACAACTACAGCTCCTCCAACAACTACCACAACTACAGCTCCTCCAACAACTACCACCACCACAGCTCCTCCAACAACTACCACAACTACAGCTCCTCCAACAACTACCACAACTACAGCTCCTCCAACAACTACCACCACCACAGCTCCTCCAACAACTACCACAACTACAGCTCCTCCAACAACCACCACAACTACAGCTCCTCCAACAACTACCACCACAGATCCTCCAACAACTACCACCACCACAGCTCCTCCAACAACTACCACAGCTCCTCCAACAACTACCACCACCACAGCTCCCCCAACAACTACCACAACCACAGCTCCTCCAACAACTACCACCACCACAGCTCCTCCAACAACAACCACAACAACAGCTCCTCCAACAACTACCACAACTACAGCTCCTCCAACAACTACCACAACCACAGCTCCTCCAACAACCACCACCACAGCTCCTCCAACAACTACCACCACCACGGCTCCTCCAACAACCACCACCACCACGGCTCCTCCAACAACCACCACAACCACGGCTCCTCCAACAACTACCACCACCACAGCTCCTCCAACAACTACCACAACCACAGCTCCTCCAACAACTACCACAACCACAGCTCCTCCAACTACCACCACAACCACAGCTCCTCCAACAACTACCACCACTACAGCTCCTCCAACAACCACCACAACCACAGCTCCTCCAACTACCACCACAACCACAGCTCCTCCAACAACTACCACAACTACAGCTCCTCCAACAACTACCACCACCACCACAGCTCCTCCAACAACTACCACAACTACAGCTCCTCCAACAACTACCACAACTACAGCTCCTCCAACAACTACCACAACCACAGCTCCTCCAACAACCACCACCACAGCTCCTCCAACAACTACCACCACCACGGCTCCTCCAACAACCACCACCACCACGGCTCCTCCAACAACCACCACAACCACGGCTCCTCCAACAACTACCACCACCACAGCTCCTCCAACAACTACCACAACCACAGCTCCTCCAACAACTACCACAACCACAGCTCCTCCAACTACCACCACAACCACAGCTCCTCCAACAACTACCACCACTACAGCTCCTCCAACAACCACCACAACCACAGCTCCTCCAACTACCACCACAACCACAGCTCCTCCAACAACTACCACAACTACAGCTCCTCCAACAACCACCACAACCACAGCTCCTCCAACAACTACCACAACTACAGCTCCTCCAAAAACTACCACAACCACAGCTCCTCCAACAACTACCACAACCACAGCTCCTCCAACAACTACCACAACTACAGCTCCTCCAACAACCACCACCACCACAGCTCCTCCAACAACTACCACAACTACAGCTCCTCCAACAACCACCACCACCACAGCTCCTCCAACAACTACCACCACCACAGCTCCTCCAACAACTACCACAACCACAGCTCCTCCAACAACCACCACAACCACAGCTCCTCCAACTACCACCACCACCACAGCTCCTCCAACAACTACCACCACTACAGCTCCTCCAACAACCACCACAACTACAGCTCCTCCAACAACTACCACAACCACAGCTCCTCCAACAACCACCACCACCACGGCTCCTCCAACAACTACCACCACCACAGCTCCTCCAACAACTACCACAACCACAGCTCCTCCAACAACTACCACAACTACAGCTCCTCCAACAACTACCACAACCACAGCTCCTCCAACAACTACCACAACTACAGCTCCTCCAACAACTACCACAACTACAGCTCCTCCAACAACCACCACAACTACAGCTCCTCCAACAACTACCACAACCACAGCTCCTCCAACAACTACCACAACCACAGCTCCTCCAACAACTACCACCACCACAGCTCCTCCAACAACTACCACAACTACAGCTCCTCCAACAACTACCACCACCACAGCTCCTCCAACAACTACCACAACTACAGCTCCTCCAACAACCACCACAACTACAGCTCCTCCAACAACTACCACAACCACAGCTCCTCCAACAACTACCACAACTACAGCTCCTCCAACAACCACCACCACCACAGCTCCTCCAACAACTACCACAACCACAGCTCTTCCAACAACTACCACAACTACAGCTCCTCAAACAACTACCACAACTACAGCTCCTCCAACAACCACCACAACTACAGCTTCTCCAACAACCACCACAACTACAGCTTCTCCAACAACTACCACAACCACAGCTCCTCCAACAACTACCACCACCACAGCTCCTCCAACAACTACCACAACCACAGCTCCTCCAACAACTACCACAACCACAGCTCCTCCAACAACTACCACGACTACAGCTCCTCCAACAACTACCACAACCACAGCTCCTCCAACAACCACCACCACCACAGCTCCTCCAACAACCACCACCACCACAGCTCCTCCAACAACTACCACCACCACAGCTCCTCCAACAACTACCACTACCACAGCTCCTCCAACAACTACCACGACTACAGCTCCTCCAACAACTACCACAACCACAGCTCCTCCAACAACCACCACCACCACAGCTCCTCCAACAACCACCACCACCACAGCTCCTCCAACAACTACCACAACCACAGCTCCTCCAACAACTACCACCACCACAGCTCCTCCAACAACTACCACAACCACAGCTCCTCCAACAACTACCACAACCACAGCTCCTCCAACAACTACCACAACCACAGCTCCTCCAACAACTACCACAACCACAGCTCCTCCAACAACTACCACCACCACAGCTCCTCCAACAACTACCACAACTACAGCTCCTCCAACAACTACCACAACCACAGCTCCTCCAACAACTACCACAACTACAGCTCCTCCAACAACTACCACAACTACAGCTCCTCCAACAACCACCACAACTACAGCTCCTCCAACAACTACCACAACCACAGCTCCTCCAACAACTACCACAACCACAGCTCCTCCAACAACCACCACCACCACAGCTCCTCCAACAACTACCACAACCACAGCTCCTCCAACAACTACCACAACTACAGCTCCTCCAACAACTACCACAACTACAGCTCCTCCAACAACCACCACAACTACAGCTCCTCCAACAACTACCACAACCACAGCTCCTCCAACAACTACCACCACCACAGCTCCTCCAACAACTACCACAACCACAGCTCCTCCAACAACTACCACAACCACAGCTCCTCCAACAACCACCACCACAACAGCTCCTCCAACAACCACCACCACCACAGCTCCTCCAACAACTACCACAACTACAGCTCCTCCAACAACTACCACCACCACAGCTCCTCCAACAACTACCACAGCTCCTCCAACAACTACCACGACTACAGCTCCTCCAACAACTACCACAACCACAGCTCCTCCAACAACCACCACCACCACAGCTCCTCCAACAACCACCACCACCACAGCTCCTCCAACAACTACCACAACCACAGCTCCTCCAACAACCACCACCACCACAGCTCCTCCAACAACTACCACAACTACAGCTCCTCCAACAACCACCACAACTACAGCTCCTCCAACAACTACCACCACAGCTCCTCCAACAACTACCACCACAGCTCCCCCAACAACTACCACCACCACAGCTCCTCCAACAACTACCACAACCACAGCTCCTCCAACAACTACCACCACTACAGCTCCTCCAACAACTACCACAACTACAGCTCCTCCAACAACCACCACAACCACAGCTCCTCCAACTACCACCACAACTACAGCTCCTCCAACAACCACCACAACTACAGCTCCTCCAACAACTACCACAACCACAGCTCCTCCAACAACTACCACAACCAGAGCTCCTCCAACAACTACCACAACCACAGCTCCTCCAACAACTACCACCACCACAGCTCCTCCAACAACTACCACAACCACATCTCCTCCAACAACCACCACAACCACAGCTCCTCCAACTACCACCACAACCACAGCTCCTCCAACAACTACCACAACTACAGCTCCTCCAACAACTACCACAACCACAGCTCCTCCAACAACTACCACAACTACAGCTCCTCCAACAACTACCACAACTACAGCTCCTCCAACTACCACCACAGCTCCTCCAACAACTACCACAACTACAGCTCCTCCAACAACTACCACAACCACAGCTCCTCCAACAACTACCACGACTACAGCTCCTCCAACAACTACCACAACCACAGCTCCTCCAACAACTACCACAACCACAGCTCCTCCAACAACTACCACAACCACAGCTCCTCCAACAACTACCACAACCACAGCTCCTCCTACAACTACCACCACCACAGCTCCTCCAACAACTACCACAACCACAGCTCCTCCAACAACCACCACAACTACAGCTCCTCCAACAACTACCACAACCACAGCTCCTCCAACAACTACCACAACTACAGCTCCTCCAACAACTACCACAACTACAGCTCCTCCAACAACCACCACAACTACAGCTCCTCCAACAACTACCACAACCACAGCTCCTCCAACAACTACCACCACCACAGCTCCTCCAACAACCACCACCACCACAGCTCCTCCAACAACCACCACCACCACAGCTCCTCCAACAACTACCACAACTACAGCTCCTCCAACAACTACCACCACCACAGCTCCTCCAACAACTACCACAACCACAGCTCCTCCAACAACTACCACAACCACAGCTCCTCCAACAACTACCACCACCACAGCTCCTCCAACAACTACCACAACCACAGCTCCTCCAACAACCACCACAACCACGGCTCCTCCAACTACCACCACAACCACAGCTCCTCCAACAACTACCACAACTACAGCTCCTCCAACAACTACCACAACCACAGCTCATCCAACAACTACCACAACTACAGCTCCTCCAACAATTACCACAACTACAGCTCCTCCAACTACCACTACAACCACAGCTCCTCCAACAACTTCCACAACTACAGCTCCTCCAACAACTACCACAACCACAGCTCCTCCAACAACTACCACGACTACAGCTCCTCCAACAACTACCACAACCACAGCTCCTCCAACAACTACCACAACCACAGCTCCTTCAACTACCACCACAACCACAGCTCCTCCAACAACTACCACCACTACAGCTCCTCCAACAACTACCACGACTACAGCTCCTCCAACAACTACCACAACCACAGCTCCTCCTACAACTACCACCACCACAGCTCCTCCAACAACTACCACAACCACAGCTCCTCCAACAACTACCACAACCACAGCTCCTCCAACTACCACCACAACCACAGCTCCTCCAACAACTACCACAACTACAGCTCCTCCAACAACTACCACAACCACAGCTCCTCCAACAACTACCACAACTACAGCTCCTCCAACAACTACCACAACCACAGCTCCTCCAACAACTACCACAACTACAGCTCCTCCAACAACTACCACAACCACAGCTCCTCCAACAACTACCACAACCACAGCTCCTCCAACAACTACCACAACTACAGCTCCTCCAACAACTACCACAACTACAGCTCCTCCAACAACCACCACAACTACAGCTCCTCCAACAACTACCACAACAGAAGCTCCTCCAACAACTACCACCACCACAGCTCCTCGAACAACTACCACCACCACAGCTCCTCCAACAACTACCACAACCACAGCTCCTCCAACAACTACCACAACCACAGCTCCTCCAACAACTACCACAACCACAGCTCCTCCAACAACCACCACCACCACAGCTCCTCCAACAACTACCACAACTACAGCTCCTCCAACAACCTCCACAACTACAGCTCCTCCAACAACTACCACCACAGCTCCTCCAACAACTACCACCACAGCTCCCCCAACAACTACCACCACCACAGCTCCTCCAACAACTACCACAACCACAGGTCCTCCAACAACTACCACAACCACAGCTCCTCCTACAACTACCACCACCACAGCTCCTCCAGCAACTACCACAACCACAGCTCCTCCGACAACTACCACAACTACAGCTCCTCCAACAACTACCACAAGTACAGCTCCTCCAACAACTACCACGACTACAGCTCCTCCAACAACTACCACAACCACAGCTCCCCCTACAACTACCACCACCACAGCTCCTCCAACAACTACCACAACCACAGCTCCTCCAACAACTACCACAACCACAGCTCCTCCAACTACCACCACAACCACAGCTCCTCCAACAACTACCACAACTACAGCTCCTCCAACAACTACCACAACCACAGCTCCTCCAACAACTACCACAACCACAGCTCCTCCAACAACTACCACAACTACAGCTCCTCCAACAATTACCACAACTACAGCTCCTCCAACTACCACCACAACCACAGCTCCTCCAACAACTACCACAACTACAGCTCCTCCAACAACTACCACAACCACAGCTCCTCCAACAACTACCACGACTACAGCTCCTCCAACAACTACCACAACCACAGCTCCTCCAACAACTACCACAACCACAGCTCCTCCAACTACCACCACAACCACAGCTCCTCCAACAACTACCACCACTACAGCTCCTCCAACAACTACAGCTCCTCCAACAACTACCACAACCACAGCTCCTCCTACAACTACCACCACCACAGCTCCTCCAACAACTACCACAACCACAGCTCCTCCAACAACCACCACAACCACAGCTCCTCCAACTACCACCACAACCACAGCTCCTCCTACAACTACCACGACTACAGCTCCTCCAACAACTACCACAACTACAGCTCCTCCAACAACTACCACAACCACAGCTCCTCCAACAACCACCACAACAGCAGCTCCTCCAACAACTACCACCACCACAGCTCCTCCAACAACTACCACCACCACAGCTCCTCCAACAACTACCACAACCACAGCTCCTCCAACAACTACCACAACCACAGCTCCTCCAACAACCACCACCACCACAGCTCCTCCAACAACTACCACAACTACAGCTCCTCCAACAACCACCACAACTACAGCTCCTCCAACAACTACCACCACAGCTCCTCCAACAACTACCACCACAGCTCCCCCAACAACTACCACCACCACAGCTCCTCCAACAACTACCACAACCACAGCTCCTCCAACAACTACCACAACCACAGCTCCTCCTACAACTACCACCACCACAGCTCCTCCAACAACTACCACAACCACAGCTCCTCCGACAACTACCACAACTACAGCTCCTCCAACAACTACCACAACTACAGCTCCTCCAACAACTACCACGACTACAGCTCCTCCAACAACTACCACAACCACAGCTCCTCCTACAACTACCACCACCACAGCTCCTCCAACAACTACCACAACCACAGCTCCTCCAACAACTACCACAACCACAGCTCCTCCAACTACCACCACAACCACAGCTCCTCCAACAACTACCACAACTACAGCTCCTCCAACAACTACCACAACCACAGCTCCTCCAACAACTACCACAACTACAGCTCCTCCAACAACTACCACAACTACAGCTCCTCCAACAACCACCACCACCACAGCTCCTCCTACAACTACCACGACTACAGCTCCTCCAACAACTACCACAACTACAGCTCCTCCAACAACTACCACAACCACAGCTCCTCCAACAACTACCACAACTACAGCTCCTCCAACAACTACCACAACCACAGCTCCTCCAACAACTACCACAACCACAGCTCCTCCAACAACTACCACAACTACAGCTCCTCCAACAACTACCACAACTACAGCTCCTCCAACAACCACCACAACCACAGCTCCTCCAACAACTACCACAACTACAGCTCCTCCAACAACTACCACCACCACAGCTCCTCCAACAACTACCACCACCACAGCTCCTCCAACAACTACCACCACCACAGCTCCTCCAACAACTACCACAACCACAGCTCCTCCAACAACTACCACAACTACAGCTCCTCCAACAACCACCACAACTACAGCTCCTCCAACAACTACCACCACAGCTCCTCCAACAACTACCACCACAGCTCCCCCAACAACTACCACCACCACAGCTCCTCCAACAACTACCACAACCACAGCTCCTCCAACAACTACCACAACCACAGCTCCTCCTACAACTACCACCACCACAGCTCCTCCAACAACTACCACAACCACAGCTCCTCCGACAACTACCACAACTACAGCTCCTCCAACAACTACCACAACTACAGCTCCTCCAACAACTACCACGACTACAGCTCCTCCAACAACTACCACAACCACAGCTCCTCCAACAACTACCACAACTACAGCTCCTCCAACAACTACCACCACCACAGCTCCTCCAACAACTACCACAACTACAGCTCCTCCAACAACTACCACAACTACAGCTCCTCCAACAACCACCACCACGGCTCCTCCAACAACTACCACCACCACAGCTCCTCCAACAACTACCACAACTACAGCTCCTCCAACAACTACCACAACTACAGCTCCTCCAACAACCACCACAACTACAGCTCCTCCAACAACTACCACCACCACAGCTCCTCCAACAACTACCACAACCACAGCTCCTCCAACAACTACCACAACCACAGCTCCTCCTACAACTACCACCACCACAGCTCCTCCAACAACAACCACAGCTCCTCCGACAACTACCACAACTACAGCTCCTCCAACAACTACCACAACTACAGCTCCTCCAACAACTACCACGACTACAGCTCCTCCAACAACTACCACAACCACAGCTCCTCCAACAACTACCACAACTACAGCTCCTCCAACAACTACCACCACCACAGCTCCTCCAACAACTACCACAACTACAGCTCCTCCAACAAATACCACAACTACAGCTCCTCCAACAACCACCACCACGGCTCCTCCAACAACTACCACAACTACAGCTCCTCCAACAACTACCACAACTACAGCTCCTCCAACAACTACCACAACTACACTTCCTCCAACAACTACCACAACTACAGCTCCTCCAAGAACTACCACAAACACAGTTCCTCCAACAACTACCACCACCACAGCTCCTCCAACAACTACCACAACCACAGCTCCTCCAACAACTACCACAACTACAGCTCCTCCAACAACTACCACAACTACAGCTCCTCCAACAACCACCACCAACACAGCTCCTCCAACAACCACCACAACTACAGGTCCTCCAACAACTACCACAACTACAGCTCCTCCAACAACTACCACCACCACAGCTCCTCCAATCACGACAACCACAGTTCCTCAAACAACAACAACTACAGCTCCTCCAACCACAACAACTACAGCTCCTCCAACCACAACAACCACAGTCCCTCCAACGACGACATCCACAGCTCCTCGAACCGCAACAACCACAGCTCCTCCAACCACAACAACCACAGTCACTCCAACAACAACAACCACAATTCCTCCAACAACAACAACCACAGCTCCTCCAACCGCGACAACCACAGCACCTCCAACCACAGTTCCTCCAACCACGACAACCACAGTCCCTCCAACCGCAACAACCACAGCTCCTCCAACCACAACAACCACAGTAATTCCAACCACGACAACCACAGTTCCTTCAACCACAACAACCACAGCTCCTCTAACCACAACAACCACAGTTCCTCCAACCACAACAACCACAGTTCCTCCAACCACGACAACCACAGTTCCTCCAACCACAAAAACCACAGTTCCTCCAAGCACAGCAACCACTGCTCCTCCAACCACAACAACTACAGCTCCTCCAACCACAACAACCACAGTTCCTCCAACCACTACAACCACAGTTCCTCCAACCACAACAACCACAATTCCTCCAACCGCAACAACCACAGCTCCTCAAACCACAACAACCACAGTTCTTCCAACCGCGACAACCACAGCTCCTCCAACCACAACAACCACAGTCCCTCCAACCGCAACAACCACAGTTCCTCCAACCACAACAACTACAGTTCCTCCAACCACAAAAACCACAGTTCCTCCAAGCACAGCAACCACAGTTCCTCCAACCACAACAACAACAGTTCCTCCAACCACAACAACCACAGCTTCTCCAATAACAACAACAGTTCCTCCAACCACAACAACCACAGCTTCTCCAATAACAACTACAGTTCCCCCAACCACAACAACCACAGTTCCTCCAACCACAACAACCACAGTTCCTCCAACCACAACAACGACAGCTCCTCCAACCACAACAACCACAGTTCCTCCAACCACTACAACCACAGTTCCTCAGACCACAACAACCACAATCCCTCCAACCGCAACAACCACAGCTCCTCAAACCACAACAACCACAGTTCCTCCAACCGCGACAACCACAGCTCCTCCAACCACAACGACCACAGTTCCTCCAACCACAACAACCACAGTCCCTCCAACCGCAACAACCACAGTTCCTCCAACCACAACAACCACAGCTCCTCCAACCACAAAAACCACAGTTCCTCCAAGCACAGCAACCACAGTTCCTCCAAGCACAGCAACCACAGTTCCTCCAACAACTACCACAGCTCCTCCAACAACAACAACCACAGCTTCTCCAATAAAAACTACAGTTCCCCCAACCACAACAACCACAGTTCCTCCAACCACAACAACTACAGTTCCTCCAACCACAAAAACCACATTTCCTCCAACCACAACAACCACAGCTCCTCCAACCACAACAACAACAGTTCCTCCAACCACGACAACCACAGTTCCTCCAACCACAACAACCACAATCCCTCCAACCGCAACAACCACAGTTCCTCCAACCGCAACAACCACAGTTCCTCCAACCACAACAACCACAGTTCCTCCAACCACAACAACCACAGTCCCTCCAAGCACAACAACTACAGCTCCTCCAACCAAAACAACCACAGTTCCTTCAACCGTAACAACCACAGCTCCTCCAACCGTAACAACCACAGCTCCTTCAACAACTACGACCACCAACAAACCAACCACCGCAACTACTGTTGCTGCAGTCGTAGATGCTCGTTTTTCCTACACCACGACTGTTAGCTTAGACGAACCCTTTTCATCTGATCTGCTGAACACGGAAAGTCCAGAATACAAAGATCTTGAGAAAAGATGTCTACAAACTGTGAGTTTGTGTCTTACAAATTAAGTTTATAATATTTAGCAATTCATCTTTTTACTTGTTTAATCCCAACTTAAACCTGTCTTTCTAGTGTTCTGCCATTTTCAGTCCACATTCTTGGTTTTCACACTGCAAAGTGAAAAAGTTCAGGTGAGTTCCATAAAAGAAACACTGTCCTGTTGTCCATGTGTCCTGTTGTCCACGTGTCCTGTTGTCCATGTGTCCTGTTGTCCACGTGTCCTGTTGTCCAAGTGTCCTGTTGTCCATGTGTCCTGTTGTCCACGTGTCCTGTTGTCCACGTGTCCTGTTGTCCACGTGTCCTGTTGTCCACGTGTCCTGTTGTCCATGTGTCCATGTGTCCTATTGTCCATGTGTCCTGTTGTCCATGTGTCCTGTTGTCCACGTGTCCTGTTGTCCATGTGTCCTGTTGTCCATGTGTCCTGTTGTCCTGTTGTCCATGTGTCCTGTTGTCCATGTGTCCTGTTGTCCTGTTGTCCATGTGTCCTGTTGTCCATGTGTCCTGTTGTCCACGTGTCCTGTTGTCCATGTGTCCTGTTGTCCTGTTGTCCATGTGTCCTGTTGTCCATGTGTCCTGTTGTCCATGTGTCCATGTGTCCTGTTGTCCATGTGTCCATGTGTCCTGTTGTCCATGTGTCCTGTTGTCCATGTGTCCATGTGTCCTGTTGTCCACGTGTCCTGTTGTCTACGTGTCCTGTTGTCCACGTGTCCTGTTGTCCATGTGTCCTGTTGTCCATGTGTCCTGTTGTCCATGTGTCCATGTGTCCTGTTGTCCATGTGTCCTGTTGTCCATGTGTCCATGTGTCCTGTTGTCCATGTGTCCTGTTGTCCATGTGTCCATGTGTCCTTTTGTCCATGTGTCCTGTTGTCCATGTGTCCTGTTGTCCATGTGTCAACGTGTCCTGTTGTCCATGTGTCCTGTTGTCCATGTGTCCTGTTGTCCATGTGTCCATGTGTCCTGTTGTCCATGTGTCCATGTGTCCTGTTGTCCATGTGTCCTGTTGTCCATGTGTCCTGTTGTCTACGTGTCCTGTTGTCCATGTGTCCTGTTGTCCATGTGTCCTGTTGTCCATGTGTCCTGTTGTCCATGTGTCCATGTGTCCTGTTGTCCATGTGTCCTGTTGTCCATGTGTCCTGTTGTCCACGTGTCCTGTTGTCCATGTGTCCTGTTGTCCATGTGTCCTGTTGTCCACCTGTCCTGTTGTCCACGTGTCCATGTGTCCTGTTGTCCATGTGTCCTGTTGTCCACATGTCCTGTTGTCCACGTGTCCTGTTGCCCACGTGTCCTGTTGTCCACGTGTCCTGTTGTCCACGTGTCCTGTTGTCCATGTGTCTTGGCTGTTTCTTTTTGGAAAGACAACCTTGGTAGAGTAGAGTGAAGTAGAGGGCCAAGTTAGACCGGTAGAAACAGGGTTCATGATGAAAAGTATGGACAGATCCTGGATTATTAACATAATAATGCTGAACGTGTGTTGTTTGACTTGACAGGGGAAAAGACCCACAAAGCAAGACCGAAACCGTAGAAGCTGAATTCGAGGTTGTGGCCAAACCGAACTCTACCGTAGCAAGCCTTCCTCCTAATGACTTCGTTGCCAAGGCTTTCACCAATAACTCAAACCCAGGAGCAAGTGTGACCATAACCTCTGCTGAAGTTATAGGTATGTGGTCTGTTAATAATAACAATTATAGTGGACACCCAATGTATGTATGTATCCAGCTGTTTAATAAGAATAATAATTTACACAACTTAGATGTACTAAGCATCCTTCACTCTGGACCTCAAGCATCTTGGATTGAGATAAAACAGGAGACGAAACGAACCCTTGCACCCCATAGCCCCGCCCCTTACGTCCTATAGCCCCGCCCATTACGTCCTTTAGCACTGCCCCTTACGTCCTATAGCCCTGCTGCAGCTTCATGTATGAGCATATAAATAACTCAAACCTGCGTGAATTGACTGAAAGCATTTTTGAGTAAATTACATGGGAAAAAAGCTACACTATGGCACAGAGCTGGCCAATGCTTAGGTTATTCTCCCTGTAAACAAAGCAACTGTTAGGTTAAAAAGCTTTTACAATTGGAAAGTCTTGTTAAAAATGCTCAAAACACACACAAAAAATATAGTTTTTTCATACATCCTTTTGAAGTCATGCAGAACTAATTCATCTGTTGCTGTTTGCAGATAGTCCACACACAGCTGCAGTAACTCCCACGACCACCACAACTACCACCAAGAGTGCCACCACCGGTAAGTGAAAAACCCCTAACTGGGGGTGGGACAGTTGACCCCAGAATCCCCCTGCAAGCCTGTGCTCCAACCGGTTATGGAAATAGGCCTAACAACTCTATGGTCTGGTTTGGTGGCTGGGTCAAGCTCCTTCTGTTCATGAGAGACAAGGCTGCTCCCCCTAAAACATACTTTTCTGGGCTTTGGCCTTAAATGAGGACTTGGACTGTACCGGCCACTACTCTTTGGCAGTGGAGACAGTAGGCTAGACTTTTCCCGTATGCAAATTGAAGGTAAAACATATGCAGGACAAGGCTTTCAAAAGCCTCTATCAGGACTGATAATAATAATAATAGGAATAATAAAAGAATGCATACATTTTATATTGTGCTTTTCTGGACGCTCACAGACGCTTCACAGCATTATTCTTTCACTTCATACACAGTGGTGATAGACTACTGCAGTAGCCACAGCTGCCCTGGGGCACACTGATGAGCGAGTCAACCAGCCTGTGCCATTGGCTCCCCAATCATTCACACACACACCAGACTCCTTCTAGGCAATGTGGGTGAAGTGTCTTGCCTAAGGACACAATGACAGTTTGCCAATTTGCAGCCGCAGTCCCACTGTGGCACTTGGTCTTCCCAGAGGTCTCCATCACAGTAGTAACTACTTTCGCCTGCAGGGGGCGCCATGTTTTCAAGGTCATGTTAGTGGAGTGGAGGGGATTGACTCAGACCATTGTTTTAATTATCTGAACATTTGGACAGATTCATCCATCTATTCCTACACCACGACTGTTGGCTTAGACGAACCCTTTTCATCTGATCTGCTGAACCCGGAAAGTCCAAAATACAAAGATCTTGAGAAAAGATGTCTACAAACTGTGAGTTTGTGTCTTACAAATTAAGTTTATAATATTTAGCAATTCATCTTTTTACTCGTTTAATCCCAACTTAAACCTGTCTTTCTAGTGTTCTGCCATTTTCAGTCCACATTCTTGGTTTTCACACTGCAAAGTGAAAAAGTTCAGGTGAGTTCCATAAAAGAAACACTGTCCTGTTGTCCATGTGTCCTGTTGTCCACGTGTCCTGTTGTCCACGTGTCCTGTTGTCCATGTGTCCTGTTGTCCACGTGTCCTGTTGTCCATGTGTCCTGTTGTCCACGTGTCCTGTTGTCCATGTGTCCTGTTGTCCACGTGTCCTGTTGTCCACGTGTCCTGTTGTCCACGTGTCCTGTTGTCCACGTGTCCTGTTGTCCATGTGTCCTGTTGTCCACGTGTCCACGTGTCCTGTTGTCCACGTGTCCTGTTGTCCACGTGTCCTGTTGTCCACGTGTCCTGTTGTCCACGTGTCCTGTTGTCCACGTGTCCTGTTGTCCACGTGTCCTGTTGTCCACGTGTCCATGTGTCCTGTTGTCCACGTGTCCTGTTGTCCACGTGTCCATGTGTCCTGTTGTCCACGTGTCCTGTTGTCCATGTGTCCTGTTGTCCACGTGTCCTGTTGTCCATGTGTCCTGTTGTCCATGTGTCCTGTTGTCCACGTGTCCATGTGTCCTGTTGTCCATGTGTCCTGTTGTCCATGTGTCCATGTGTCCTGTTGTCCATGGGGGGGGGGGGGAGTGTTTGGCTGTTGCCGACGGTGCAAGTTACACCAATTAAACACTTTGTTTTGGCCAACAAAGGTTAAATTACAAAGGCCAAAAGTTTCCTGTAGGTCCTCACCAGGTTTTTTGCACACTAGCTGGTATTTTTGCCCATTCTTCCCTGAGGATCTTTTCTTGAGCAGTGATGTATTGGGGCTGTCTCTGGGCAACATAGACTTCCACCTCCCTCTACAGATGTTCTGTTGGGCTGAGGTCTGGAGACTGGCTTGGCCACTCCAGGACCTTGAAATGCTTCTCAGAGAGCCACTTCCTTGACAGGTGGATGAGGGATCATTGTCAGACTGGACGACCCAGTCCCCTTCCATCTTTTCCTTAATATCGATCAGTCGTCCTATGCCCTTTGCAAAACAGCAGCCCCAAACCACAATGTTACCACCCCCATGTTTCACAGTGGGTGGAAACCTGGTGAACTTGCGGAAATGTAAGTTGCTAGTATACGGCATAATGGAAAGACAACCTTGGTAGAGTAGAGTGAAGTAGAGGGCCAAGTTAGACCGGTAGAAACAGGGTTCATGATGAAAAGTATGGACAGATCCTGGATTATTAACATAATAATGCTGAACGTGTGTTGTTTGACTTGACAGGGGAAAAGACCCACAAAGCAAGACCGAAACCGTAGAAGCTGAATTCGAGGTTGTGGCCAAACCGAACTCTACCGTAGCAAGCCTTCCTCCTAATGACTTCGTTGCCAAGGCTTTCACCAATAACTCAAACCCAGGAGCAAGTGTGACCATAACCTCTGCTGAAGTTATAGGTATGTGGTCTGTTAATAATAACAATTATAGTGGACACCCAATGTATGTATGTATCCAGCTGTTTAATAAGAATAATAATTTACACAACTTAGATGTACTAAGCATCCTTCACTCTGGACCTCAAGCATCTTGGATTGAGATAAAACAGGAGACGAAACGAACCCTTGCACCCCATAGCCCCGCCCCTTACGTCCTATAGCTCCGCCCCTTACGACCTATAGCCCCGCCCCTTACGTCATATAGCCCCACCCCTTACCCCCCATAGCCCCGCCCCTTACGTCATATAGCCCCGCCCCTTACGTCATATAGTCCCGCCCTTTACGCCCTATAGCCCCGCCCCTTACGCCCTTTAGCCCTGCCCCTTACATCATATGGCCCCGCCCCCTACGTCCTATAGCCCTGCTGCAGCTTCATGTAAGAGCATATAAATAACTCAAACCTGCGTGAATTGACTGAAAGCATTTTTGAGTAAATAACATGGGAAAAAAGCTACACTATGGCACAGAGCTGGCCAATGCTTAGGTTATTCTCCCTGTAAACAAAGCAACTGTTAGGTTAAAAAGCTTTTACAATTGGAAAGTCTTGTTAAAAATGCTCAAAACACACACAAAAAATATAGTTTTTTCATACATCCTTTTGAAGTCATGCAGAACTAATTCATCTGTTGCTGTTTGCAGATAGTCCACACACAGCTGCAGTAACTCCCACGACCACCACAACTACCACCAAGAGTGCCACCACCGGTAAGTGAAAAACCCCTAACTGGGGGTGGGACAGTTGACCCCAGAATCCCCCTGCAAGCCTGTGCTCCAACCGGTTATGGAAATAGGCCTAACAACTCTATGGTCTGGTTTGGTGGCTGGGTCAAGCTCCTTCTGTTCATGAGAGACAAGGCTGCTCCCCCTAAAACACACTTTTCTGGGCTTTGGCCTTAAATGAGGACTTGGACTGTACCGGCCACTACTCTTTGGCAGTGGAGACAGTAGGCTAGACTTTTCCCGTATGCAAATTGAAGGTAAAACATATGCAGGACAAGGCTTTCAAAAGCCTCTATCAGGACTGATAATAATAATAATAGGAATAATAAAAGAATGCATACATTTTATATTGTGCTTTTCTGGACGCTCACAGACGCTTCACAGCATTATTCTTTCACTTCATACACAGTGGTGATAGACTACTGCAGTAGCCACAGCTGCCCTGGGGCACACTGATGAGCGAGTCAACCAGCCTGTGCCATTGGCTCCCCAATCATTCACACACACACCAGACTCCTTCTAGGCAATGTGGGTGAAGTGTCTTGCCTAAGGACACAATGACAGTTTGCCAATTTGCAGCCGCAGTCCCACTGTGGCACTTGGTCTTCCCAGAGGTCTCCATCACAGTAGTAACTACTTTCGCCTGCAGGGGGCGCCATGTTTTCAAGGTCATATGTTAGTGGAGTGGAGGGGATTGACTCAGACCATTGTTTTAATTATCTGAACATTTGGACAGATTCATCCATCTATTCCTACACCACGACTGTTGGCTTAGACGAACCCTTTTCATCTGATCTGCTGAACCCGGAAAGTCCAAAATACAAAGATCTTGAGAAAAGATGTCTACAAACTGTGAGTTTGTGTCTTACAAATTAAGTTTATAATATTTAGCAATTCATCTTTTGACTCGTTTAATCCCAACTTAAACCTGTCTTTCTAGTGTTCTGCCATTTTCAGTCCACATTCTTGGTTTTCACACTGCAAAGTGAAAAAGTTCAGGTGAGTTCCATAAAAGAAACACTGTCCTGTTGTCCATGTGTCCTGTTGTCCATGTGTCCTGTTGTCCATGTGTCCTGTTGTCCACGTGTCCTGTTGTCATGTCCTGTTGTCCACGTGTCCTGTTGTCCACGTGTCCTGTTGTCCACGTGTCCTGTTGTCCATGTGTCCAGTGTCTGTTGTCCACGTGTCCTGTTGTCCACGTGTCCTGTTGTCCCATGTGTCCTGTTGTCCATGTGTCCTGTTGTCACGTGTCCTGTTGTCCACGTGTCCTGTTGTCCACGTGTCTGTTGTCCACGTGTCTGTTATCCACGTGTCCTGTTGTCCACGTGTCCTGTTTGTCCATGTGTCCTGTTGTCCATGTGTCCTGTTGTCCATGTGTCCTGTTGTCCACGTGTCCTGTTGTCCACGTGTCCTGTTGTCCAAGTGTCCTGTTGTCAGTGTCCTGTTGTCCTGTGTCCTGTTGTCCATGTGTCCTGTTGTCCATGTGTCCTGTTGTCCACGTGTCCATGTGTCCTGTTGTCCACGTGTCCTGTTGTCCATGTGTCCTGTTGTCCACGTGTCCTGTTGTCCATGTGTCCTGTTGTCCACGTGTCCTGTTGTCCATGTGTCCTGTTGTTTATGTGTCCTGTTGTCCTGTTGTCCATGTGTCCTCTTGTCCATGTGTCCTGTTGTCCATGTGTCCTGTTGTCCATGTGTCCTGTTGTCCATGTGTCCATGTGTCCATGTGTCCTGTTGTCCATGTGTCCTGTTGTCCATGTGTCCTGTTGTCCACGTGTCCTGTTGTCCACGTGTCCTGTTGTCCACGTGTCCTGTTGTCCACGTGTCCTGTTGTCCACGTGTCCATGTGTCCTGTTGTCCATGTGTCCTGTTGTCCACGTGTCCATGTGTCCTGTTGTCCATGTGTCCATGTGTCCTGTTGTCCATGTGTCCTGTTGTCCACGTGTCCATGTGTCCTGTTGTCCATGTGTCCTGTTGTCCATGTGTCCTGTTGTCCACGTGTCCTGTTGTCCATGTGTCCTGTTGTCCATGTGTCCTGTTGTCCATGTGTCCATGTGTCCTGTTGTCCATGTGTCCACGTCCTGTTGTCCATGTGTCCTGTTGTCCATGTGTCCTGTTGTCCATGTGTCCTGTTGTCCATGTGTCCATGTGTCCTGTTGTCCATGTGTCCTGTTGTCCATGTGTCCTGTTGTCCATGTGTCCATGTGTCCTGTTGTCCATGGGGGGGGGGGGAGTGTTTGGCTGTTGCCGACGGTGCAAGTTACACCAATTAAACACTTTGTTTTGGCCAACAAAGGTTAAATTACAAAGGCCAAAAGTTTCCTGTAGGTCCTCACCAGGTTTTTTGCACACTAGCTGGTATTTTTGCCCATTCTTCCCTGAGGATCTTTTCTTGAGCAGTGATGTATTGGGGCTGTCTCTGGGCAACATAGACTTCCACCTCCCTCTACAGATGTTCTGTTGGGCTGAGGTCTGGAGACTGGCTTGGCCACTCCAGGACCTTGAAATGCTTCTCAGAGAGCCACTTCCTTGACAGGTGGATGAGGGATCATTGTCAGACTGGACGACCCAGTCCCCTTCCATCTTTTCCTTAATATCGATCAGTCGTCCTATGCCCTTTGCAAAACAGCAGCCCCAAACCACAATGTTACCACCCCCATGTTTCACAGTGGGTGGAAACCTGGTGAACTTGCGGAAATGTAAGTTGCTAGTATACGGCATAATGGAAAGACAACCTTGGTAGAGTAGAGTGAAGTAGAGGGCCAAGTTAGACCGGTAGAAACAGGGTTCATGATGAAAAGTATGGACAGATCCTGGATTATTAACATAATAATGCTGAACGTGTGTTGTTTGACTTGACAGGGGAAAAGACCCACAAAGCAAGACCGAAACCGTAGAAGCTGAATTCGAGGTTGTGGCCAAACCGAACTCTACCGTAGCAAGCCTTCCTCCTAATGACTTCGTTGCCAAGGCTTTCACCAATAACTCAAACCCAGGAGCAAGTGTGACCATAACCTCTGCTGAAGTTATAGGTATGTGGTCTGTTAATAATAACAATTATAGTGGACACCCAATGTATGTATGTATCCAGCTGTTTAATAAGAATAATAATTTACACAACTTAGATGTACTAAGCATCCTTCACTCTGGACCTCAAGCATCTTGGATTGAGATAAAACAGGAGACGAAACGAAAATAGCCCCGCCCCTTTGTCCTATACCCCATACGTCCTTTAGCCCCGCCCCTTACGTACCTATAGCCCGCCCCTTACCCGCCCTGCCCCCGCCCTTACACAATAGCCCCGCCCTTACAAGCCCTTTAGCCCGCCCCTTACGTCACCGCCCTATACCCGCCCTTACGCCCTTTAGCCCGCCCCTTACATCATATGGCCCCGCCCTATGCTGCAGCTTCATGTATGAGCATATAAATAACTCAAACCTGCGTGAATTGACTGAAAGCATTTTTGAGTAAATAACATGGGAAAAAAGCTACACTATGGCACAGAGCTGGCCAATGCTTAGGTTATTCTCCCTGTAAACAAAGCAACTGTTAGGTTAAAAAGCTTTTACAATTGGAAAGTCTTGTTAAAAATGCTCAAAACACACACAAAAAATATAGTTTTTTCATACATCCTTTTGAAGTCATGCAGAACTAATTCATCTGTTGCTGTTTGCAGATAGTCCACACACAGCTGCAGTAACTCCCACGACCACCACAACTACCACCAAGAGTGCCACCACCGGTAAGTGAAAAACCCCTAACTGGGGGTGGGACAGTTGACCCCAGAATCCCCCTGCAAGCCTGTGCTCCAACCGGTTATGGAAATAGGCCTAACAACTCTATGGTCTGGTTTGGTGGCTGGGTCAAGCTCCTTCTGTTCATGAGAGACAAGGCTGCTCCCCCTAAAACATACTTTTCTGGGCTTTGGCCTTAAATGAGGACTTGGACTGTACCGGCCACTACTCTTTGGCAGTGGAGACAGTAGGCTAGACTTTTCCCGTATGCAAATTGAAGGTAAAACATATGCAGGACAAGGCTTTCAAAAGCCTCTATCAGGACTGATAATAATAATAATAGGAATAATAAAAGAATGCATACATTTTATATTGTGCTTTTCTGGACGCTCACAGACGCTTCACAGCATTATTCTTTCACTTCATACACAGTGGTGATAGACTACTGCAGTAGCCACAGCTGCCCTGGGGCACACTGATGAGCGAGTCAACCAGCCTGTGCCATTGGCTCCCCAATCATTCACACACACACCAGACTCCTTCTAGGCAATGTGGGTGAAGTGTCTTGCCTAAGGACACAATGACAGTTTGCCAATTTGCAGCCGCAGTCCCACTGTGGCACTTGGTCTTCCCAGAGGTCTCCATCACAGTAGTAACTACTTTCGCCTGCAGGGGCGCCATGTTTTCAAGGTCATGTTAGTGGAGTGGAGGGGATTGACTTAGACCATTGTTTTAATTATCTGAACATTTGGACAGATTCATCCATCTATTCCTACACCACGACTGTTGGCTTAGACGAACCCTTTTCATCTGATCTGCTGAACCCGGAAAGTCCAAAATACAAAGATCTTGAGAAAAGATGTCTACAAACTGTGAGTTTGTGTCTTACAAATTAAGTTTATAATATTTAGCAATTCATCTTTTTACTCGTTTAATCCCAACTTAAACCTGTCTTTCTAGTGTTCTGCCATTTTCAGTCCACATTCTTGGTTTTCACACTGCAAAGTGAAAAAGTTCAGGTGAGTTCCATAAAAGAAACACTGTCCTGTTGTCCATGTGTCCTGTTGTCCTGTGTCCTGTTGTCCACGTGTCCTGTTGTCCACGTGTCCTGTTGTCCACGTGTCCTGTTGTCCACGTGTCCTGTTGTCCACGTGTCCTGTTGTCCATGTGTCCTGTTGTCCAGTGTCCTGTTGTCCACGTGTCCTGTTGTCCACGTGTCCTGTTGTCCACGTGTCCTGTTGTCCACGTGTCCTGTTGTCCACGTGTCCTGTTGTCCATGTGTCCTGTTGTCCACGTGTCCTGTTGTCCACGTGTCCTGTTGTCCACGTGTCCTGTTGTCCATGTGTCCTGTTGTCCATGTGTCCTGTTGTCCATGTGTCCTGTTGTCCATGTGTCCATGTGTCCTGTTGTCCATGTGTCCTGTTGTCCATGTGTCCTGTTGTCCATGTGTCCATGTGTCCATGTGTCCTGTTGTCCTGTTGTCCATGTGTCCTGTTGTCCATGTGTCCTGTTGTCCACGTGTCCATGTGTCCATGTGTCCTGTTGTCCACGTGTCCATGTGTCCTGTGTGTCCTGTGTCCTGTTGTCCATGTGTCCTGTTGTCCACGTGTCCATGTGTCCTGTTGTCCATGTGTCCTGTTGTCCATGTGTCCTGTTGTCCATGTGTCCTGTTGTCCACGTGTCCTGTTGTCCACGTGTCCATGTGTCCTGTTGTCCATGTGTCCTGTTGTCCACGTGTCCTGTTGTCCACGTGTCCTGTTGTCCATGTGCCTTGGCTGTTCCTTTTTGGAAAGACAACCTTGGTAGAGTAGAGTGAAGTAGAGGGCCAAGTTAGACCGGTAGAAACAGGGTTCATGATGAAAAGTATGGACAGATCCTGGATTATTAACATAATAATGCTGAACGTGTGTTGTTTGACTTGACAGGGGAAAAGACCCACAAAGCAAGACCGAAACCGTAGAAGCTGAATTCGAGGTTGTGGCCAAACCGAACTCTACCGTAGCAAGCCTTCCTCCTAATGACTTCGTTGCCAAGGCTTTCACCAATAACTCAAACCCAGGAGCAAGTGTGACCATAACCTCTGCTGAAGTTATAGGTATGTGGTCTGTTAATAATAACAATTATAGTGGACACCCAATGTATGTATGTATCCAGCTGTTTAATAAGAATAATAATTTACACAACTTAGATGTACTAAGCATCCTTCACTCTGGACCTCCAGCATCTTGGATTGAGATAAAACAGGAGACGAAACGAACCCTTGCACCCCATAGCCTCGCCCCTTACGTCATATAGCTCCGCCCCTTACGACCTATAGCCCCGCCCCTTACGTCCTATAGCCCCACCCCTTACCCCCCATAGCCCCATCCCTTACGTCATATAGCCCCGCCCCTTACGTCCTATAGCCCCACCCCTTACGCCCCATAGCCCCGCCCCTTACGTCATATAGCCCCGCCCCTTACGTCATATAGTCCCGCCCTTTACGCCCTATAGCCCCGCCCCTTACGCCCTTTAGCCCCGCCCCTTACATCATATGGCCCCGCCCCCTACGTCCTATAGCCCTGCTGCAGCTTCATGTATGAGCATATAAATAACTCAAACCTGCGTGAATTGACTGAAAGCATTTTTGAGTAAATTACATGGGAAAAAAGCTACACTATGGCACAGAGCTGGCCAATGCTTAGGTTATTCTCCCTGTAAACAAAGCAACTGTTAGGTTAAAAAGCTTTTACAATTGGAAAGTCTTGTTAAAAATGCTCAAAACACACACAAAAAATATAGTTTTTTCATACATCCTTTTGAAGTCATGCAGAACTAATTCATCTGTTGCTGTTTGCAGATAGTCCACACACAGCTGCAGTAACTCCCACGACCACCACAACTACCACCAAGAGTGCCACCACCGGTAAGTGAAAAACCCCTAACTGGGGGTGGGACAGTTGACCCCAGAATCCCCCTGCAAGCCTGTGCTCCAACCGGTTATGGAAATAGGCCTAACAACTCTATGGTCTGGTTTGGTGGCTGGGTCAAGCTCCTTCTGTTCATGAGAGACAAGGCTGCTCCCCCTAAAACATACTTTTCTGGGCTTTGGCCTTAAATGAGGACTTGGACTGTACCGGCCACTACTCTTTGGCAGTGGAGACAGTAGGCTAGACTTTTCCCGTATGCAAATTGAAGGTAAAACATATGCAGGACAAGGCTTTCAAAAGCCTCTATCAGGACTGATAATAATAATAATAGGAATAATAAAAGAATGCATACATTTTATATTGTGCTTTTCTGGACGCTCACAGACGCTTCACAGCATTATTCTTTCACTTCATACACAGTGGTGATAGACTACTGCAGTAGCCACAGCTGCCCTGGGGCACACTGATGAGCGAGTCAACCAGCCTGTGCCATTGGCTCCCCAATCATTCACACACACACCAGACTCCTTCTAGGCAATGTGGGTGAAGTGTCTTGCCTAAGGACACAATGACAGTTTGCCAATTTGCAGCCGCAGTCCCACTGTGGCACTTGGTCTTCCCAGAGGTCTCCATCACAGTAGTAACTACTTTCGCCTGCAGGGGGCGCCATGTTTTCAAGGTCATGTTAGTGGAGTGGAGGGGATTGACTCAGACCATTGTTTTAATTATCTGAACATTTGGACAGATTCATCCATCTATTCCTACACCACGACTGTTGGCTTAGACGAACCCTTTTCATCTGATCTGCTGAACCCGGAAAGTCCAAAATACAAAGATCTTGAGAAAAGATGTCTACAAACTGTGAGTTTGTGTCTTACAAATTAAGTTTATAATATTTAGCAATTCATCTTTTGACTCGTTTAATCCCAACTTAAACCTGTCTTTCTAGTGTTCTGCCATTTTCAGTCCACATTCTTGGTTTTCACACTGCAAAGTGAAAAAGTTCAGGTGAGTTCCATAAAAGAAACACTGTCCTGTTGTCCATGTGTCCTGTTGTCCACGTGTCCTGTTGTCCACGTGTCCTGTTGTCCACGTGTCCTGTTGTCCACGTGTCCTGTTGTCCACGTGTCCTGTTGTCCATGTGTCCTGTTGTCCTGTTGTCCATGTGTCCTGTTGTCCATGTGTCCATGTGTCCTGTTGTCCATGTGTCCTGTTGTCCACGAGTCCTGTTGTCCACGTGTCCTGTTGTCCACGTGTCCTGTTGTCCACGTGTCCTGTTGTCCACGTGTCCTGTTGTCCATGTGTCCTGTTGTCCACGTGTCCTGTTGTCCATGTGTCCTGTTGTCCACGTGTCCTGTTGTCCATGTGTCCTGTGTCCTGTTGTCCACGTGTCCTGTTGTCCACGTGTCCTGTTGTCCACGTGTCCTGTTGTCCATGTGTCCTGTTGTCCATGTGTCCATGTGTCCTGTTGTCCATGTGTCCTGTTGTCCTTTTGTCCATGTGTCCTGTTGTCCATGTGTCCTGTTGTCCATGTGTCCTGTTGTCCATGTGTCCTGTTGTCCACGTGTCCTGTTGTCCATGTGTCCTGTTGTCCATGTGTCCTGTTGTCCTTTTGTCCATGTGTCCTGTTGTCCATGTGTCCTGTTGTCCACGTGTCCTGTTGTCCACGTGTCCTGTTGTCCATGTGTCCATGTGTCCTGTTGTCCATGTGTCCTGTTGTCCATGTGTCCATGTGTCCATGTGTCCTGTTGTCCATGGGGGGGGGGAGTGTTTGGCTGTTGCCGACGGTGCAAGTTACACCAATTAAACACTTTGTTTTGGCCAACAAAGGTTAAATTACAAAGGCCAAAAGTTTCCTGTAGGTCCTCACCAGGTTTTTTGCACACTAGCTGGTATTTTTGCCCATTCTTCCCTGAGGATACTTTTCTTGAGCAGTGATGTATTGGGGCTGTCTCTGGGCAACATAGACTTCCACCTCCCTCTACAGATGTTCTGTTGGGCTGAGGTCTGAGAGACTGGACAGACCTGGATTATCGCTAACTGCTGAAAGTGTCCTCCTACTTTGACTTGGCCACAATCCTGGAGCAAAGACACGAAACGTTAGAAGTGAATTCGAGGTTGGGCCAACGACAACTCTACCGTAGATGCCTTCCTCCTAATGACTTCGTAGCCAAGGCTTTCACCAATACCTCAAACCGGCGAAGTGTGACCTTAACCTCTGCTGAAGTTATAGGTATGTGGTCTGTTAAATATTAACAATTATAGTGGACACCCAATGTAAGTATGTATCCAGCTGTTTAATAAGACTAATAATTTACAAACCTTAGAATGTACTAAGGCACCTTCACTTGGACCTCAAGCATTTGGATTTGAGATAAAAACAGGAGACGAAAACGACCCTTGCACCCATAGCACCGGCCCCTTACGTCCTATAGCCCCGCCCATTAGTCCTTTAGCCCCGCCCCTTAACATCATATGGGCCCCGCCCCCCTACGTCCTATAGCCCGCCCCTTACTTCTATTGCCCGGCCCCTTACGTAATATAGCCGCTGCCCCTACGCTTTAGCCCCGCCCCAGATTCATATAGCCCCGCCCCTTACGTCCTATAGCCCCACCCCTTACGGCCCATAGCCCCGCCCCTTAGTCATTATAAGTCCCCCCCTTTAGCCTATAGCCCCGCCCCTTACGCCCTTTAGCCCCGCCCCTTACCATCATATGGCCCCGCCCCCATACGTACTTATAGCCCGGCAGCCGGCTTCTTTGTAAGAGCATATAAATAACTCAAACCTGGCGGTGAATTGACTGAAAGCATTTTTGAGTAAATAAACAGGGAAAAAAGCTACACTATGCACAGGCTGGCAATGACTTAGGTTATTCTCCCTGTAAACAAAGCAACTGTTAGGTTAAAAAGCTTTTACAATTGGAAAGTCTTGTTAAAATGCTCCAAAACACACACAAAAATATATAGTTTTGTTATACATCCTTTTGAAGTCATGCAGAAACTAATTCAATCTGTTGCTGTTGCAGATAGTCCACACACAGCTGCAGTAACTCCACAGACCCACACAACTAACCACCAAGAGTGCACCACCGGTAAGTGAAAAACCCCTTAAATGGGTGGTGGGACGGTGACCCCAGAATCCCCCTGCAAGCCTGTGCTCCAACGGTTATGGAAATAGGCTAACAACTCTATGGTCTGGTTTGGTGGCTGGGTCAAGACTCCTTTGTTCATGAGAGACAAGGCTGGCTCCCCCTAAAACATTACTTTTCTGGGCTTTGGCCTTAAATGAGGAACTTGGGACTTGTACCGGCCCCTACTCTTTGGCAGTGGAGACAGTAGGCTAGGACTTTTCCCGTATGCAAATTGAAGGTAAAAACATATGCAGGACAAGGCTTTCAAAAGCCTCTATCAGGACTGATAATAATAATAATAGGAATAATAAAAGAATGCATACATTTTATATTGTGCTTTTCTGGACGCTCACTGACCGCTTCACAGCATATTCTTTCACTTCATAACAGTGGTGATAGGATAGACTGCTGAGTAGCCACAGCTGAACTGGGGGCACCCCCACTGTAATTTGAGCGATCAACCCAAGCCTGTGCCATTGGCTCCCCAATCATTCCACACACACCAGACTCCTTCTAGGCAATGTGGGTGAAGTGTCTTGGCCTACGGACACAATGACAGTTTGCCAATTTGGCAGCGCGCAGTCCCACTGTGGACTTGGTCTCTCCCAGAGGTCTCCATCACAGTTAGTAAACTACTTTCGCTGCAGGGGGGCGCCATGTTTTCAAAGGTCATGTTAGTGGAGTGGAGGGGATTGACTTAGACCATTGTTTTAATTATGCTGAAACATTTGGACAGATTCATCCATCTATTCCTACACCACGACTGGTACTTGGCTTAGACGAACCCTTTTCATCTGATCTGTGAACCCGGAAAGTCCAAAATACAAAGTATCTTGAGAAAAGATTGTCTACAAACTTGTGAGTTTGTGTCTTACCAATTAAGTTTATAATTATTTAGCAATTCATCTTTTTTCTGTTTAAATCCACTTTAACCTGTCTTTCTAGTGTTCTGACATTTTCAGTCACATTCTTGGTTTTCACACACTGCAAAAGGTGAAAAGTTCAGGTGAGTTCCATAAAGAAACACTGTCCTGTTGTCCATGTGTCCTGTTGTCCCACTGTGTCCTGTTGTCCCACGTGGTCCTGTTGTCCACGTGTCCTGTTGTCCTTGTGTCCCTGTGTCCTGTTGTCCACGTGTCCTGTTGTCCACGTGTCCATGTGTTCCTGTTGTCCATGTGTCCTGTTGGTCATTTGGCCTTGAAACTAGAAAAACAAAAACGCACACCAAGTTCCTCTCATGAGGTGCATGTGCTGGAGCAGAAACCAAATGCATTGGAAAATACACAGCACACTCGGATAGATGTCCAAAAGATCTAGCATTTATTACGTTTCGGCCTTAGCCTTCGTCAGATCATTTTTATCTTATTCATTTGGATCACAATATACAAAATGGTGCCAACCCAGGTGCTATAAGCCCCTTCTAACGAGTGGGAGGTCCCAGTGTGGTGACACCCAGTGAATTCAGCCAGTCTAAAATCAAAAAGCAGAATTAATACATAGAAGAAATCAACTTATAAAATGTATACAGATAATCATAAGAAACATCTGAGGTCAAAGTCCACATTTAGTCCATAAGGAGCTAAAGTCTTTAAGTGATGGATCCAAAAGTGCTCTCTTTTAGACAAAAGCACTTCCAGGTTTCCACCTCTTGGGGGTAGCGTTACATGTTCAATACCAATATATCTTAATGAAGAGATTGGATGATTGAATTCTATAAAATGAGCTGCTACAGGGTAATTTAAGTTTTTGCATCTGATAGTGCTTCTATGTTCTGCAATACGTGTTTTTAAAGCCCTGCTGGTTTTTCCTACATAGGCTTTACCACAAGGACAAGTGATCATGTAAATAACAGATTTTGTATTGCAGGATATAATTCCTTTGATGGGTATAACTTTACCAGTGTGGGGATGCTTGAAATTGGTGCCCCGATAGGTGTAATTGCACTGACTACATCCACCACACCGGCGATTGCCATCAGGGATAGGAGTCAGAATAGTTTGGCCTGTAGTGGTCCTGGATTATTAACATAATAATGCTGAACGTGTGTTGTTTGACTTGACAGGGGAAAAGGGCCACAAACAAAGACCACCGAAACCGTAGAAGCTGAATTCGAGGTTGTGGCCAAACCGAACTCTACCGTAGCAAGCCTTCCTCCTAATGACTTCGTTGCCAAGGCTTTCACCAATAACTCAAACCCAGGAGCAAGTGTGACCATAACCTCTGCTGAAGTTATAGGTATGTGGTCTGTTAATAATAACAATTATAGTGGACACCCAATGTATGTATGTATCCAGCTGTTTAATAAGAATAATAATTTACACAACTTAGATGTACTAAGCATCCTTCACTCTGGACCTCAACCATCTTGGATTGAGATAAAACAGGAGACGAAACGAACCCTTGAACCCCATAGCCCCGCCCCTTACGTCCTATAGCCCCGCCCCTTATGTCATATAGTCCCGCCCCTTACGTCCTATAGCCCCGCCCCTTACATCATATAGTCCCGCCCCTTCTGTCCTATAGCCCCGCCCCTTCTGTCCTTTAGCCCCACCCCTTACGTCCTATAGCCCCGCCCCTTACGAAAACTGAATTGACCGAAAACAGCTTTGTGTAAATGACATGGGAAAACAACTTCACCATGGCACTTCAAACAAAACAGCTGTTGGGTTAACAAAAGTATGCTTGTTCCATTGTATTTTTAATAGTTTTAAAATGCTCAAATCATGACTTTTGAAGTCATGCAGAACTAATTCATCTGTTGCTTTTGCAGATAGTCCACACACAGCTGCAGTAACTCCCACGACCACCACGACCACTACCACTAGTGCCACCACAACTACCACTAGTGCCACCACCGGTAAGTGAAAAATCCTAAACGGTTGGTTAGACAGTTGACCCTAGAATCCCCCTGCAGCAAATGCAACCCCTCGTTAATACTGCAGTAGCCACAGCTGCCCTGGGGCACACTGATGAGCGAGTCAACCAGCCTGTGCCATTGGCTCCCCAATCATTCACACACACACCAGACTCCTTCTAGGCAATGTGGGTGAAGTGTCTTGCCTAAGGACACAATGACAGTTTGCCAATTTGCAGCCGCAGTCCCACTGTGGCACTTGGTCTTCCCAGAGGTCTCCATCACAGTAGTAACTACTTTCGCCTGCAGGGGGCGCCATGTTTTCAAGGTCATGTTAGTGGAGTGGAGGGGATTGACTTAGACCATTGTTTTAATTATCTGAACATTTGGACAGATTCATCCATCTATTCCTACACCACGACTGTTGGCTTAGACGAACCCTTTTCATCTGATCTGCTGAACCCGGAAAGTCCAAAATACAAAGATCTTGAGAAAAGATGTCTACAAACTGTGAGTTTGTGTCTTACAAATTAAGTTTATAATATTTAGCAATTCATCTTTTGACTCGTTTAATCCCAACTTAAACCTGTCTTTCTAGTGTTCTGCCATTTTCAGTCCACATTCTTGGTTTTCACACTGCAAAGTGAAAAAGTTCAGGTGAGTTCCATTAAAGAAACACTGTCCTGTTGTCCATGTGTCCTGTTGTCCATGTGTCCTGTTGTCCATGTGTCCTGTTGTCCATGTGTCCTGTTGTCCATGTGTCCATGTGTCCTGTTGTCCACGTGTCCTGTTATCCACGTGTCCTGTTGTCCACGTGTCCTGTTGTCCACGTGTCCTGTTGTCCATGTGTCCTGTTGTCCACGTGTCCTGTTGTCCACGTGTCCTGTTGTCCACGTGTCCTGTTGTCCACGTGTCCTGTTATCCACGTGTCCTGTTGTCCACGTGTCCTGTTGTCCTGTTGTCCATGTGTCCTGTTGTCCATGTGTCCTGTTGTCCATGTGTCCTGTTGTCCACGTGTCCTGTTGTCCACGTGTCCTGTTGTCCAAGTGTCCTGTTGTCCACGTGTCCTGTTGTCCACGTGTCCTGTTGTCCATGTGTCCTGTTGTCCATGTGTCCTGTTGTCCACGTGTCCATGTGTCCTGTTGTCCACGTGTCCTGTTGTCCATGTGTCCTGTTGTCCACGTGTCCTGTTGTCCATGTGTCCTGTTGTCCACGTGTCCTGTTGTCCATGTGTCCTTTTGTCTATGTGTCCTGTTGTCCTTTTGTCCATGTGTCCTGTTGTCCATGTGTCCTGTTGTCCATGTGTCCTGTTGTCCATGTGTCCCTTTGTCCATGTGTCCTGTTGTCCATGTGTCCATGTGTCCTGTTGTCCATGTGTCCTGTTGTCCATGTGTCCATGTGTCCTGTTGTCCATGGGGGGGGGGAGTGTTTGGCTGTTGCCGACGGTGCAAGTTACACCAATTAAACACTTTGTTTTGGCCAACAAAGGTTAAATTACAAAGGCCAAAAGTTTCCTGTAGGTCCTCACCAGGTTTTTTGCACACTAGCTGGTATTTTTGCCCATTCTTCCCTGAGGATCTTTTCTTGAGCAGTGATGTATTGGGGCTGTCTCTGGGCAACATAGACTTCCACCTCCCTCTACAGATGTTCTGTTGGGCTGAGGTCTGGAGACTGGCTTGGCCACTCCAGGACCTTGAAATGCTTCTCAGAGAGCCACTTCCTTGACAGGTGGATGAGGGATCATTGTCAGACTGGACGACCCAGTCCCCTTCCATCTTTTCCTTAATATCGATCAGTCGTCCTATGCCCTTTGCAAAACAGCAGCCCCAAACCACAATGTTACCACCCCCATGTTTCACAGTGGGTGGAAACCTGGTGAACTTGCGGAAATGTAAGTTGCTAGTATACGGCAAAATGGAAAGACAACCTTGGTAGAGTAGAGTGAAGTAGAGGGCCAAGTTAGACCGGTAGAAACAGGGTTCATGATGAAAAGTATGGACAGATCCTGGATTATTAACATAATAATGCTGAACGTGTGTTGTTTGACTTGACAGGGGAAAAGACCCACAAACCAAGACCACCGAAACCGTAGAAGCTGAATTCGAGGTTGTGGCCAAACCGAACTCTACCGTAGCAAGCCTTCCTCCTAATGACTTCGTTGCCAAGGCTTTCACCAATAACTCAAACCCAGGAGCAAGTGTGACCATAACCTCTGCTGAAGTTATAGGTATGTGGTCTGTTAATAATAACAATTATAGTGGACACCCAATGTATGTATGTATCCAGCTGTTTAATAAGAATAATAATTTACACAACTTAGATGTACTAAGCATCCTTCACTCTGGACCTCAACCATCTTGGATTGAGATAAAACAGGAGACGAAACGAACCCTTGAACCCCATAGCCCCGCCCCTTACGTCCTATAGCCCCGCCCCTTACATCATATAGTCCCGCCCCTTACGTCCTATAGCCCCGCCCCTTACATCATATAGTCCCGCCCCTTCTGTCCTATAGCCCCGCCCCTTCTGTCCTTTAGCCCCACCCCTTACGTCCTATAGCCCCGCCCCTTACGAAAACTGAATTGACCGAAAACAGCTTTGTGTAAATGACATGGGAAAACAACTTCACCATGGCACTTCAAACAAAACAGCTGTTGGGTTAACAAAAGTATGCTTGTTCCATTGTATTTTTAATAGTTTTAAAATGCTCAAATCATGAAAGAAGCAATTCATTTTTCATACATCCCTTTGAAGTCATGCAGAACTAATTCATCTGTTGCTTTTGCAGATAGTCCACACACAGCTGCAGTAACTCCCACGACCACCACGACCACTACCACTAGTGCCACCACCGGTAAGTGAAAAATCCTAAACGGTTGGTTAGACAGTTGACCCTAGAATCCCCCTGCAGCAAATGCAACCCCTCGTTAATACTGCAGTAGCCACAGCTGCCCTGGGGCACACTGATGAGCGAGTCAACCAGCCTGTGCCATTGGCTCCCCAATCATTCACACACACACCAGACTCCTTCTAGGCAATGTGGGTGAAGTGTCTTGCCTAAGGACACAATGACAGTTTGCCAATTTGCAGCCGCAGTCCCACTGTGGCACTTGGTCTTCCCAGAGGTCTCCATCACAGTAGTAACTACTTTCGCCTGCAGGGGGCGCCATGTTTTCAAGGTCATGTTAGTGGAGTGGAGGGGATTGACTCAGACCATTGTTTTAATTATCTGAACATTTGGACAGAGTTATTGGGTAGATTATTTTACAGCAACATTTCATGAGAAGCTCTTGTCCGAACAGTTTGATCATGAAGCACATACATCTCACACGTCCCATGTCTTCTCTGATCCACCCATCTCAACATTCTTTTCCAGGATTTTCATGTTTTTTTTCTAATTTTGAATTTGATTTGCAGCGTCCAGTGCATCACAGAAGAAGATCCCTCTGGTTACGGCCCCTCTCCTGGTGCTTCTGTCCTGGGTCCTGTCCAGCCAATCATAACCCTCACACCTCCACAATGTGGACTATTGTTGTGTAAACTCTTTTGGGCCAGTGCAATATGAAATGATCATACAATACCTTTGGGTTGTGACAATTGTGTAATTTTTGACAATAGTATTTAATAATGCATTTATTAAAATGAAAGTAAAATGAGTTATGATGATCTTTTGTTTCAGCACCTCTTTACCTTGTACTCTTATTTATTCCATCAATAAAACATTTAACTTTGGAAAACCTTACATCCTCCCTTTGTTTTCACCACACAAACTGTACACAACTCCCCCGTCATTTGGACTGCTCTCATTGAAACAAAGGTTAAAATATATGATTGTGGTTCATTTGAAAGAAGTTAGATGTATTTCCACAAACATGTTTCGGCTGCAGAGCTGCGAGCCATCTTCAAAACTGTCTCCCGCCTTGGTGATGTTAAGTGGGCGTGGTCAGCCTGATTGGCAGGTCGCTCAGACTGACCCTGCCCCCTCTGGCCCGGTGGTCTCTGGAGGAGTGTGTGCATAAGACCAGCTTTAAACTGGTTCAGGTCTTACCTTCGGGACAGGTGTGTCTGGTCTGGACCCCTTCTTTGTGCTGTTTCAGAAGGCCCTGGTTTCTTTGCACATGCTGCCACTTAGAGAGAGTAGAGTAGGGTAGAGTAGTGTAGAGTAGAGTAGAGTAGGGCTGGTGGAAACGGGGCTATCGTAAACAGCATGTGGTGGATACCTGAGGGTCTGGCCAAGTGCAAAGATGATTTGTGTGTCATGTATCGCAGACTGTAAAGACTGCAGGACAGGTGCTCTGGGGCGCTCGCTAACTTCTCCTGTTCTGTCTGGAAACTGGAGTCTCATCAGTGTCATGACAGGGCCACTCGAGCGCGCACTGCTAGACACAACACACACACACACACACACACACACACACACACACACACACACACACACACACACACACACACACACACACACACACACACACACACACACACACACACACACGCGAACGCGTCCAAATGTGCTGAGGATTCTCAGCCAGATCTGCCTTCATCCTTCCATCTGGCCAGGTCAGGTTCAGGCAGGTACAGGTTGCAATCATGTGACATCACAATATTCCAGAGCACATACAGTGGTATTTAGTCAGCCACCAATTGTACATGTCCTCCCACTTTAAAGATGAGAAATACCTATAATTGTCATCATAGGTGCACCCAGTGTGCGACAGACCAGCTCCATCTAAGTCCACTTCTTTAGAGGTGTTGAACAAACATGCACAGGTGGTCTGTAGCTCTGACCGTGTTCCACATGAGTTGGACCCCACATCAGTCCATATTTCGCACTATGGTTATACCTCAACTAAATGAGAACAAAAGAAGAAAATCATTTTTTTCTTTATTGAATAATTTATTTGCAAATGCAAACATTCTTCTCCTCCAAACACAACGAGTTGAAATTTTGCCAAAAAATTCTATTTTGGTTTTATCTGACCACGACATTCTCCCACTTCAATACCCACAGAACACCATACAGTGCAGCATGGGGGTGGAAACATCGTGCTTCTGGGAAGTTTTTCTGGAAGGACCTCGCCCCTGGCCTCGCACACACACACACACACACAGACACAGACACACACACACACACACACACACACACAGACACAAACACACACACACACAGGCACAGACACACACACACATACCAAACACATACACACATAGACAGACACACAGACAGTCAGGGAGGGGAGAGAGGTGATTGAATATTGGAAAGGAGGGAGCGTAGGGTTAGGGTTAGAGTAGGGTTAGAGTAGAGTAGAGTAGAGTAGGTTTGGGTAGAGTAGAGTAGAGTAGAGTAGAGTAGAGTAGAGTAGAGTAGAGTAGGGTAGAGTAGAGTAGAGTAGAGAGGAGTAGGGTAGAGTAG